AGTCTTATTGTAAAACTCTAGAGCGTATTTTTCTTTCCTTATTTTTTTTAATCCAAGTAACCTTAGAATTATGTCTCTTTTATTTTTAAGTTTTTGATTCTTCAGTCAAATATTTTGCTGACTTTAAACACGTCCACTTCTTTATATAAAGTGACAAATAGCTTGTTTGGAGCGATTTAAAATTAAAACTCCAAAACTGCTTGCCACTTGGTTCTCAAACACCATAGATTAATGAAGAATAGAGAAATGTTCCAGCGAGAGAGAGAGAGAGAGAGAGAGAGAGAGAGAGGAGCAAGGATAATATTAATCTTAAATTTTGGTTGAGAAAAAGATAATACTAATCCAGTTGTAACTATAACTACCCACGTCTTAAATTCTTACAAGTGCCAACTAATTTTACGGAATTTACCACTGTCTAATCCTCGTATCTCTTTTTTAACTAAATGCCAGCATTAAAGTAACTAACAGTCGCCTAATTACTTCCCACCGTGATTTAGCATTTTCTTAAAGAGGTAAATTCTCAAAAAAGAAAAAAAAAGCAAAAAAGATGGTCTCGTTCATTTCCATCGATTTGAGTTTTTAATTTTAATTTTACTACCGTTAAAAATTTTCATAAAAAGTCACATTTAATTTTTTTTGTTATGATAAAAAAGTTTCACATAAAATCAAATTTCAATTCAAATTCGCGAACTGAACGAGGTACTCATAATTATTAAAAAGTGACATTAGCCAAAAAAAAAAAAACCCCAAATTGGAAAATTAAATAGCGACAGTCAAAAGAGCTCAAAATTCAAATTCCAGATAAGTATTTTTGATTTTGTCGTAGAAAAGAAAAACGGAACTTTCCTACTCTCAAATGAAATAAACAGAGAGAGGGAAAAGAGATTAGAAATGAGAATATCCATTATTTGATATTTGATTATTTGATGATAGACCAAGAACGTGTAAAATCTGGACCAGCTTGGAAAATCCTTTTAAATTAAATATAAAACGTGTCAGAGAGAGAGAAAGGCAGTCACGTTTTGTAAAATGTAAACAAGTTTTCCTGACTTTCATAAAAATAAAATAAAAAAAATTCCTGACTTTGACAGCCCAAACGGGCCAGGCGTCCCTCTACTCCTCCTATTTATTTACAATAAAAAAAATAGACATAATTAAAACAACGAAGAAAAAATGGCAGAGAAAATAAAATAGAAAGAAAAAAAAAGTTCTAAAAAAAACACTTAAACTTAAAACCAAAACAGTACCAACAGATTAACCCCAAAACCCAAAAAAAAAAAAAAAACTAAACTAAAACTAAAACAAATGGGAAGAAAACAAATATAAATTTCCAACCTGCTTTTTCTTTTTCTTCTTCCTTTCTCTTCTCATTCTCTCTCTCTCTCCTTCTCGTTCCATCTCTTTCCCCTTCTCTCCTCTCCATGTTCCGTTCTTCATTGCGTTGATTTCGAAATCCAGCATTTCTGTACGGCCCGAAATCGAAGCCTTAAATCGCCGCTGATTCGGTGAATTCCAGGTGGTTTTTGCCGACAAGATTTTGTTTTTGTTTTTACGTTTTTTTTTTTTTTGCCCTCTGGAGTTTAATCCAACCGTTGCCGGTTAAATGTAGGTCAATTTGTCGGAATTAGGGTTCCGATACGTTATCGGGGATTGAAGATTTGGAATTTGTTTTATTCGGAAACGGAGAAGATTCAGTTTGGAGGATTGCGTTGAAAGCCGTTAGATTTTGATTTTCATTTATTTCTCTTGATGTTGATCTGATGCTGGGACTGCGACGTTTAATTCTTTCATTCGGCGGATTTTTAGGCAAAAGCTGATATATTTTTTTTTTTGTTGAATCGGTGGGCGTCAGTTGGGGAAATCTTTGTAGATTTGGGGCGCATTGTTTTGTGGATATGATATTGTGGTCAAATAAAGGCTAAATTGAGCATAAATCTTGGTGAAAACAGCCGTTTTTAGCCTCTCGATCGAGTTTCTGAGTTGAAATTTGATGATGGATCATGTGATTGGAAATAAGTTTAAGCTTGGAAGGAAGATTGGGAGTGGGTCTTTTGGGGAGCTCTATTTAGGTATTATTGTTCCTCTTGTGTCTTTTTTTTGTGTGGGTTTTCTGATTATGTATTTAGCCATTAGCATTGTGTGTTTTTGTGCTTTACTTTCTAAAAATTGTTCCTTTTGTGGTTGTTTTTAGGTGTTAATGTACAAACAGGAGAGGAGGTTGCTGTCAAGCTTGTAAGTTAATCCATTTCATTCAGCTTTATTTTCTATTCCCTTCCGTATAGTATGATATATATGGGTTCTGTTGCTTTAAACATTATCTATGGACCTAAGGTGTTAGAATTCATTTATGGAAGTAGAGGTCGTGAAGATGTTGTCAAAAAGAAACTAAATGTTTTGTTTTCCTTGGTGAGCAAAAAGACATTTTGGATGTTGAATACTGGAATAAACTCCGTATTTGTAATTAGAAAGCTGCATGCAAAACGTCCTCCAATCTGTTCCAGTAACATGCAATTTCTGTTTTTTACTGGAAAAGTAAAATAAATTGTGTGTTTTGATTTATGGTCTCAAATGCTGTGTGCTTCTTCAACTTCGGTCTTATATTGAACCTTTTATACAATATTGAAAGACCTAAATTTCTGCGCACCAAATTACAGGAACCTACGAAGACCAAGCATCCGCAACTTCACTATGAATCAAAATTGTATATGCTTCTTCAAGGAGGAAGTAAGCTCTTCTTTGTATCTAGATGACATATAGCTTGTCTCTCTGTGTGTGCATGTTACCGTGATAGTTGCGGAATAATAAATAAAATAAAAGGGAAGTGGAAGGTGGGATGAAGACCCGCATTTATATTAGTTTGTTTAGTTACTAAAAGATATTCATGATTTTGTTTTCTTCAAATCACGACATACATTTTAAATATACGAAAACTTCAAAACTTAGCAAAAATACGGTACTTTTAAAGTCTGCAAACTAATTATATCTCAAGGTGCATGTATTACCATACAGTATACATACATTTGGAGAATTTTCGTACTAAAAACTTGTCTTCTCAAAGTTGATTAGTTCCTCTTTTCTATTGAAGCGGGAGTTCCCCACCTGAAGTGGTTTGGAGTTGAGGGTGAATACAATGTTATGGTTATTGACCTTCTTGGACCAAGTTTAGAAGATTTATTCAACTATTGCAATCGAAAATTGACGTTGAAGACAGTATTGATGATGGCAGATCAATTAGTAAGTAATTTTAATTCATTTTATTAAAATCAGTCATGAAGTCCCAAGATAATATGTTCACCTCCTGCTCTTTTCTATGTCACAGATTAACAGAGTTGAATACATGCATTCAAGAGGTTTTCTTCACCGTGATATAAAGCCTGACAACTTCTTAATGGGGCTAGGCCGTAAAGCCAATCAGGTAATTCATTCTTCTGTAGTTAACTCTTTATTTCACGAATAGAATCCAATATACGTGCTTGTCTCTCGGCAAGTTTTGGCATTTTTTAATAATTAATGTACAGCTGAAAATTTTGCAACTACTTTTGTTGAGTAAGTTTTTGCGTAAATTTTTGTTAAGTAAATTTTGTAACTTTTGCGTCATTTTTTTGTAAGTATTTTTGTTGATTGATATTTATAAATGGAGCTTTTTTAATTGCAAATTAATCAATAATAAAATGGCTATATTCCATCTTTTAGGACTCATGGCCTGTATATAGATTTTATGGGTCTGTTTGTTTCGTATGCTCAAGCTCAAATCATTGAATCTGTTACAGGGTTTTCCTCTCCCAAAAATTTGAATTTCAAACGTCAGAATTAAGAATCATGGTTTGAGTATACATTCTAAACGGGGCCTATATAACTCTTAGGTCTTACTGGGTTATTTTCTCGCAGGTGTACATTATTGATTATGGTCTTGCAAAGAAGTACAGGGATCTTCAAACTCATAAGCACATACCTTACAGGTAGATTTTGTATGTTTCAAAAAAATGTTGTTACGTAATTAGACAACCACAATAATTTATTAGGCATGTATCAGGCAATCAAGGTCAATAAACTAACATGTATTACTTTTTTTTTTTTCTTTTCTTTTGTTGTACTATGAATATGTCAAAATAAGTAATGTATTCCCTACGCAATATCTCTTCTTGTGGTACATGTTCTCTTATGATTAGTCCAGTTTGAGGATGAAAGCGTTAGTAATTGTATCAGGGATGATGAAAACAACAGATGATCTATCAAATAGCGAATTGCTCAATATTAAACTCAACTCTCTTTTTCTTTTCTTTTCATCTTTCCATGAATTGGAAAGAAGTAAAATGTTGTGCATGTATTAAGACAAGTCCCAAGATTTTAGGCTTCTATCCTATTCTAGTGTGCTTAGGTAGATTCATTCTGCAAATGTGTGTAGCGCATCATTTTTCTCCTTTCCTGATATTTCAGGGAGAACAAGAACCTCACAGGCACAGCTCGTTATGCAAGTGTTAACACTCACCTTGGTATTGGTGAGTTATTTTCTATACTATAACATAATATCCAATAGGAAGTAGAACCACATATTTAAATTATCTGGCATTATGTTTTAATCTGTTTGTCATTTTACTGCGCCCGCAGAACAAAGCAGAAGGGATGATCTGGAATCTCTCGGTTATGTGCTTATGTATTTCCTGAGAGGAAGGTTGAAGATTCTGTAACCATGGATTTTTGTTTTTGTTATATTCTGTGTTGGGTAGTTGACGCATCATCACTTGTTCTTAATCTAACTTTATTCTTTGTTCATCAGTCTTCCTTGGCAGGGGTTAAAAGCTGGCACCAAAAAGCAAAAATATGATAAGATCAGTGAGAAGAAGGTCTCTACTCCCATAGAGGTATCACAGCTCTCTATACTTGTACTTTTTTGCGCAGCACTTCACTCTTCACTCGGAAATTATATCCATGATCGTGGACATAGACATCAACATTCCTTTAGGTTTTAGGCAATCCAGGTTTGCCAAGCAAACCGTATTTATGCTTAATGCACTCGTGAACAAGTGTACTTGTATAGGTGACACGTACACCTTATAGGCTGGTAGCATTGACATCTGGTAATAATTTTGTAATATGCATGACAGGTCCTTTGCAAGTCATTTCCATCAGAATTTGTCTCCTACTTTCACTACTGTCGATCATTGCGGTTTGAAGATAAACCAGATTATTCATATTTGAAGAGACTTTTTAGAGACTTATTTATTCGAGAAGGTACTTTTGCAATTGCAGCTATGATCTTTAGTTTCTATATAGTTAATTGGATCTATTATTCCTTTTACTTTACCTTGGTTACATTACTTTGTTTGTACGCAGCAGTTAGCTAAACAAGTATTATTTTGTGTTTGTCAGGTTGATTCCTTTTTAATTTTATTTAACACTTAACGTGCAGGTTATCAATTTGATTATGTGTTTGACTGGACCGTGTTAAAGTATCCCCAGATTGGTGCCAGCTCCAGGGGACGGGTCAGTATTTAAGCTTTCTACGTATAAGTTTTTATTTGCTAGGAACTTTACTTATCATGTCCTTCTCTCTGTTTTAGCATGCCAGTGGAAAACCGGGTCTGAATGCTGGACCATCTGTAGAAAGACCGGAAAGAATCTCAGGTCTGCTCTCTTTGAACCCAACCATATTTGATGATCTGAATAACAAGTTTTTAAGTATTGTGTTATTATGTTGTCCTTTGAAAATGATATTTTTTCAGTAACAATCATTATAACTTTCGTTTCCTTTACGTAAATTTTTTGATTCTGTGTCCTATATTTTTCTCGACACCCTTCTCAAAAATGATGATTATGCAATTGCCTTGTCCAGTTGGGAAAGAGATTCGGGATAGATTCTCTGGTGCAGTTGAAGCATTTTCCAGGAGGCATGTATCAGGTTCCAGTCCACGTAATGATCTTTCAAAATACAGGACTTATGAAGAAGTACCTTCCTCGAAAGATGCGGTAAACTTCTACTCTCCACCTTTTCTTTTTTTTTTTTTGTGGTTTTGCTTGAATTCTACTCTTCACCTTTTTCTTAACCATTTTTCCCCCCTTACATTCTAGTGAATTTACATGTTTGTATTTGGATATTTTCTGTCTTGTTGACTCTTTGAATCGTCTGTTTGGTATGGACTGTGTAGTTAATGTTTAAAATATACCGGCACCATGACTGAATGTTGAAAAGTGACTATAGAACTCGAGAAAAATTTAGATACAAACATAAATTTGTCTCGATAACATAAGTGTCCTTTCAGTCACTGTGTGCTTGTATGATACACTCGCTCATCCAGCTTCAGATCAGTTCACTTGAAGTTCAACTGATAACAAATGATGCAGTAGATTTTCACTTTTCGCATTTCAAATGTTTTTATGGATGGTTCTTGTTGCCCTTTTCAGCACCCTGAACCTGAAAGAGGCCGCAGTTCTTCCCGATATGGCAGCAGTTCAAGAAAAGCAATCATCTCAAGCGGCAAGCCAAGCTCTTCAGCGGAGCCCAGCGAGAACCGTACAAGTCGAATAGTGTCGAGTAGTGGCCGTCCTTCAACCACACAAAGAATTCTGCCTGGGTTTGAAGCCAAATCATCGTATACTCGCACGTCAGCCGCAAGAGGCGCCCGAGACGATCCTCTCCGTAGCTTTGAACTCCTTTCTATTAGGAAGTGAAGGAGAGCGTTCTTTTATGCAGCTTATTGATAAATACCCCTCTACGTGATGAATTACTGATTTTTTATTTTTTTTTCCTTTCACTCTTTGTACATGGGGTTCATCTAATCGCCACCAATATCTTTTATGACGGATGTATCCTCTGGCATTTGTTTTGTCATTATCTCTACATGAGCATTTGGCCATTGTAACGTTGATACTTGATACACGAATCCCCTAGAGCAGAGAATTTACATGCGGTCTTTCTACATGTGAACTTTTTCTTGGAGGGGTCTTTCTGTACCGGATTCGAGAAACTGTAATAATTCCTTTCTTATTATATATAATACACGTCCTCATTGAGACCAGTCTGATATCACATTTTGAGGGCTATTTTGTTGACTCCGTGACATGGAATTAACACCATTTTGAATGAAAGAACCGATATGGCTTTTTACGTTGACTTACCTAACATTGTAAATAATTATGCAGAAAAAATAAAATCACAGTACTTGGAGGTCCATACAAATTTGTTGGCATATCTATATATTCCAGCGGCACTTATAATAAGGTTCCTCTGCGTGTGTAATCATTTAGCCCGTTTAATTCATAGATTTAAACATAGAAGTTTGGCAGAAATTTTTATGAAAAAAAATACCGTAAAAAATGAGTTTGTACAGTAGATTGAACTTATGAAACAAACACACAATATCTCTCATTGAATGTATACAGTAGCATTTGCTAAAAATAGCCAGCAACGTTATCTAAAGATGCAAAATGTTTGCATAACAATACAAGCCTAAATGCGTAAAGTAATGGGCAAAATATTTACATGTACAGTCGTGCAGAGCTATGTGCGATAACAAAGGGTGCCAATCTGCAGTTCATGGATTTCTGAGAGCTGCCAGCCTCTTCTCAAGCTCATCAATACCGGAACTGGAAGTGCCAGGAGGTGAATATTCATTAGCAAAAGTTTTGCACATGATGTCTTCACACATATGCAACATTCCACAAAAACATGCGTTGAAATAAAATTTATACGGACTAACATTAAAAGTTGAGGACTTCAGACAACAATGGTAGAAGTATAATGAGAAAGGAAGAGAAAGGGTACCTGCTAGCGTCCTCAGTCGTTTTTCTCGCAATTCTTCCTTTTGGAGCCGCTGAAAGCTACAAAGAGTTCAAGTATGCTCGTAATCAGCTTATAGAACAATGAATCAAGTACTGACCAACGACAAAATCCAGACAGAGAGAGGGGGAGAGAGAGAGAGGTACAATCAATGATACCAACCTGTGAAGCGATATCCACACCAATTTCATCTAGCACCTGCCAAACAATAAAAATGAAGCCATCAATTGCCAAGGATCAAGTCTACTAGCAATGATACAATTTATATCCACGGATACAAGTCACGCATACAAATAGAAATCTTTCAAAGCAGTTCAAGTTGGAATATTTTTGGTACATTCTTGATTAATATGATTACCGTATAACAAAATTCAGCATACCTTGCTCTTTTTCTTACTTTGTTTCTTTTTTTTAAGAAGAAGTTCGTGGAAAAGATTCATCTTAAGGGAAATGGAAATAAATGAAGGCAATCAGAGGAACCTACCTGGTTTGTCAGCTCGTCGGTCTCTTCTTCAGCTTCATCGTCATCCAGGGCATCATCTATTGCGTCAGACATCATCTCCGTCTGAATGAAAAAATTTATACCATTAAGCCCCAAAAACACGGAACCAATAATCAGACGTGAAGTTTGCTCTATGTGGAGCCTACTCCTTAAACTCAACATAAATCTTACAGTCATATCCATTTGCGCAGACTGCTTTTGAAAATCTTGAACGATCTTCGCTTGCTTTGCAGGGGCCATTTGCTGCAAACGAAACATGTCAATCACCAATGACCAAACCTATATAAAAACAGAAAACCATCGCATCTATACGGCATCTAACCTTATTCACAGCTGCCACTGCCTTAGTGGCACCCTTCATTCCAACAGCAACTGAAGAATGAGCATGCATTGCCTGCAAAAGGGTATTTTAAGCATTTCTAAGCACGATGCCAGCGTGACAAGATACAAACACACACACCTACTCGTACAAATGCCCACACACGAATGAAGAGAGATTTCGGTCAACCTGTGTATGAGTTGCTATGCCTCTCATTTGAGCTCGACTACTTTGTAAGTTGGATATCTGTTGCCTTAGTCTGACCAACTGCCGGGCCAGAGTTTTCGTTGCTGCCTGCAGAATACAAAAACAAGGGCAAGGTAAAAGAGGTTTAAGAAATATTTGGTGTCAATCCAGTCAAGTACAAAACAGAACCGTACATCATTCCCTGTTTTAGCAGTTCTCTTTATCTCAGCAAGAAGCTTCTTTTCCTGAGATGTTTTGAGGGAAAAAAAAAAATAGACAAAAAAAACTAAATCAGATGTCTATTGCCAAAACATATAGAAGATGAAAATAATTTGGAAGATTTTAACATACTTCTAATTGCAACGCTCCAATTTCCCTCTCTATACCTGAATGGAAAAGAAAAACACAGGGCAAAAATACAACGTGAGAATTCTAAATTTCTAAGCCAATATCCACTTAATCCCAATTTATCTGTAACCCCAAAATCCAATGACTTTTTCCTTAATTTTCCCTAAAGATACCTGCTCCATTAATTCACTTCTCAAAACCAAAAATTTATTATAATTTTGAAGAACTAAATAGAAAATTTCAGTGAAATTCGAAAATAATACCTCTGGCAGCATTTGACATCTCCCTCTTACTCTCCCGAAGAGCCTCTGTATCCAAAATCAAAACAAAAATCGTTACAAAATACTGATCCAAGATCAGCAGGAAAAGATAAAGGGTCAAAACAACATCAAATTCTGAAAATAATAATTCAGAGAAAAAGAAAATTCGATCAAATCTTCTCATACAAATAGACGCACAATGAATCTCTATAATTGTTCTGAAAAAAATAGAAGGATCGATGAGGAAGAAGAAATCTTAAGAGCTACGAATTGGCACGAACCTTTGGCAGTGGGTTTCTTCGAAAATATGTTCATGGCTTCCGGTGATTGTTCCCAAAACAAAAATTGCAGAGATTCTTAACTTAATTGAAAATCTTTTAAGGAGCTATAAGAGATGAATTGAAAACAGAGAGCTCGAAGCCTTGAGGTGGAAGAAATATCGCAAGAAGTTTTGTGGCTTTTTCGTCATGAATTTATATGTAGGGACTCCGCGTAAATATCAAAAACTTTTTCACCAAAGTTTCTCAGCTTTCAATCATGTCCTCCATGATTTCTGAAATTTCAAAAAAGCTCCCTGGATGATGGACTTCTTGTGGGTCAAACTTCATTGTGGTGGATTACCAGTCAACGCGGGGGTTCTTCAACTATTCCTGCCCCCTTTCCTATTGAATTCGTTTTTGTTCTTTTTGTCGTATCGTGATTTGTGTCGTTTTCCTATACCTTTTGTCGCTTATTTTTTTGTTGTAGTTTATGTTTATTATATCCTCTTTGCGTTCACTTTTTTTTTTTTTTTTTTTAAATGGCCTCCTTGCGGATATTTTCGGTTGTTTATTTCAATTTATTATCTGTAATTATTTCCTTCCCATAGTTTACCCAATCAATTTTGTTTCATTATCTATTATTCGCCGTTCTAAAGCAATAACTCCTCCATTTTGTAAATTACTTGATTAAATATAGGTATGATGTAATATGAAACACTAGATGCATCTATGCGTTATTTACTATTATTTATTTTTCATTTGAAAGAAGGAACATTTCCTTCTCTTCACACAAGTTATATGGACATCAATCAATTATCAATTAAATTGATTGATGTCTTTTTTCCAGTGGATGTGATTCTGTATCGTTAATGTCGTTCGTATTATTGTTACGTATTGCCTTTGTTCATTTTAATCTTTGTCGTTTAAAATTAATGTCGTTTTTCATGTCAAATTTTCAATTCATGCCGTTTTTTCTGGATTGTCTTTTTTAGAGTTAGGATCGTTCCCCTTTTTAATAAAACCACTTTTTAATGTTGTTGCTTACGCTCGTATGATTCAACATGTATATGTGATTCAAGTATGTAATGTCGTTAATAAGCCCGTTGCGTATTTTTTAACTTATTGATGTCATTATTCTAAATTAAAAGGAAAAAAAAAAAAAAACAGAGAGAGATGGGAAGACAATACATTTTGGAAGGGGACTTAAAATTGATAACATGAATTTCGGGGTATATAAAATTAGTAGATTTACATAAAAATCTTTAAAACTTCCAAAATTCTCTTGCACCTCTTGTCCTCCCTATAATTGTCCAGCCCTCATCGTTGATATTTCCTTCTATATTGTTTCTAATAAATGTCATTTATTGCAATTTCAAAATTTTTTCAATAGGTATAAAATTTGCTTTGAAAGATATTATTTACTCAAAAAAGCTTGTTGACGTCGTCTCTAGATCCCTGTTCTTCTAGACTTTGTCGTTCTAGGGTGACTTCGTTTTCTACTTTATAGGTTTAAAATATCTTCTCATCGATACGGTTATTATTTTGAAGAGTTATTTTGTGTGCTGTTGTCTTTTTGATAAGCTTTATGCCGTTTTCAAGTGTTGTCGTTCCATGTACCGTTTTCAGGTGTTGTCGTTCCATATTCATGGTGACATGTCGTTTGTCATGCTTGGTCGTTCTTGCATAAATGCTGTCTCTATCGTGATGTCCTAGTTAATTTATTGTTGGTTTTTCAGTGCTCGTCGTTGACACTGATGTCGTTTCTATGTCTCCTGTGGTTTTACCAACTTCTTGATGTCGTTTTGAGGTTTATGTCGTTAATCGTATTCTATATTATATTCGTTTTCAAATGTAGTCTCCTCGATTTCATATCTTTCCTTTGTCTTGTCGTTTTTGTATTCACGTTGTTTATCTTTCAACTTTTTTTCCCCTTATGATCATTACGGCTTTTTAGTGTCGTATTTAATGTTTTGTCGTCTCTCCGGGTATATAATTTGTTGTAGGGTAAAAACAGAGACCTATTAAAAAAACCTAATGTCATCAAGAAGCTCATTAAGAGTACAAGAACAACTTGGTACCACGTCATCAACATTTAACAATAACGACAAAAAAGTCGACTTTTTAAGAAGCTTCAAGAATGTTCAAAGAGACTTTGTAGCATAATGTTATAATATAGTACGAGGGTCACCTACATTAGTGACATTAAACTTAATGATGAGTTTACTGAGGTGGCGTTTTGACATGTATAGTTTACCGAGGTGACATCTATTTTGTATTGCTAGTCTTATAAACCTCTATATTTTTCTCATCATTAAGTTATTTGATGGATGGTGCAACGATAATTTATTTTTACCATTATAATTATTTTGAATTAAAAGGTGAATTTTATTTAGAAAATAAGTGAAAAATAATGCCATAGTATGTGTAAAAATACTAGGTGATTTATCTATTTTGTATTGCTATGATATGGATAAAAACGTCGGAATTTTTTTTTTAAAAGTACACGCAAACTGAAAAATATTAATGCATTTGTTGGAAAGAAAGACCGTTCGGTCGGTCCTCATTGTGTGCAGACCAATCAAGTTTTGAAGATATCAAAAACTTTAGATTTGTCTCTTCCAATTGCCGGAACAACATCGGAGTGTTAACGGAGGTGGACACGGGGGACTATGGACGACGATGAGGCGGTGGGCAAGAATGGGGAGGGGATGTTTTCTTTGGAGAGGTTTTTTTTTTTTTTGAAGAAGAAGATGAGTTTTTTTTTTAATATTTGTTTTTCCTTTTTAGGAAGATTTTCTGATATTTTGGTGTATCGGTAGGTTAAGTTTTTATAACCGTTAAATCTGTATACTTTTTAACTTTTACGTAATTTTATGCACATTAAATAGTTAAAAAAAACTTAACATACCGGTACAACAACGTACCAGAGAATGTCCTTTCTTTTTATTAATCCTTTTATTAATTATGATCAATGAGGCTTCAGGCTGTGCCTAGGGAGAAGAGGCTTCGTCCAATCCTTACGGAGTCGAGGCTTCTCAATATCAAGAAAGTGTTTAAGGAGTCGATGCTTCGTAAGACTAAGTGTTTAAGGAGTCGAGACTTCGCAAGGCTTCAAGAAGTGTTCAAGGAGACGAAGCTTCAGGCTACATCAAGGGCAAAGAGACTTCACCCGACTCTTACGAAGTCGAGGCTACGGGAAGATAATGAATTCGCAAGATTTGCTTTAAAAGTCGAGCTTTGTATGGAAACTATACTAATTGATTATAATCTCTTTCTTTTGAGAAACTATCTCAAAAGCTAAGAGAAATATCTCAAATTTAAATGAGGAAGGTTTATAGGCAGTGACCTAAGCTATAAATAGTGGGTTATAGATCAAAAATTCCCCGAAGTCTCACACCGAGAAAAAAACGTGTAATTTCTTCTCAAATTAGTGAAATTCTCTCACCCCCCACAGTAGATATAGCTCTCAAATTGAAAATAAATTATTATAAATCTTCATGTATTTTTATTTTTGCTCCGTTATTATGTATTTATGTCACTGTGAATCACATTAATATATCTCAAAATTTCACTAATTAGTTTCTTCTCGTTCTAATTGATCAGTGTCGTTTTCTGTCTTCTGGTTTACTTTTCTATCATGCCAACATCGTTCATCTTGCTGAGCTATTGGTTCCACTCCATGATGTGACGTCGTTTTGCTTAAACTAAATCGCTTGGATTAGTTATTATACACTTTGCGTGTTAAAGGCGGCGCCGCTGATTAATTAAAATAAAAATGGCGGTATATACAGACTCACGTGACGTTAATTAATGCCGTCACCGTATAAAAGTACGAACTGTACATAACAAACTTAGGCAGCGAACGAGAGTGTTAACCACAAATTCTCCGGACTCTGCGGTTTCCGTTACAAAAGCATACGTGGCCCTCTGTCCGCTCTCTTCCTTCCTATTTAACGGGTTTGCCCCTTCTGCTCTTTCCTCCGGTTCCTACAGTTACACACACTCTCCGTCTATCTCTCTCTCTCCTCTTCTTCCCAACATAAAACATACTCAAGAAGTTCTCTCTCTCTTGGAATCTGAATTTTCCGGCGACCACCACTTCGTCTCCGATAAGTAGTCGATTGGTTTTCCGGTTACCCGATAAAGTTTTTTTTTTTTTTGGAACTTTTATTGAACCGGAAGCAGGATTGTTTTCGGGAAGGGTTTGTGAAATCATTTGTTTGGTTTTCTCGAAATTGTCCGATTGAACTTTGTGTTTCGAACTGTGAAGGTTGTAATCCGAGGCTGTAATTTGAGCTTGGTTATGGTTAGCTTCTTTCTTAAACTAGCGAAAAGCTTTCGTAGAAGTTGAAGTGATAATCGGAATTGAAACTTTGTTTTTGGTTAAAGTTCTGGAAGGTTTGGTACTGGCTCTGGAACTTTCTATGCGAAGCTAGGGTTTTTGGTTCGCGGGTTTACAGCTTCTTTCCTAGAGCTTCTCTTGGTTCGTTTACTTGTACGGAAGTGTATTTCCGGAGCATTTGGAATACTTTCATTTGAATTTTCGCTTGGAAGCTAGGGTTTTTTCATTTGAAATTCCTGTAAAGACGAACAAAATCGGAAGTTGTTGCGACTTGAAACGAAAAGGGTTTGGCTTGTCGTTGGTGATGTTGATAGTTCTTTGCTTTTCCGTGTTTGACGATTTGAAATGTGCTGTTTCTGTTCAAGAATTGAACATTGATTGTTTTGGAAATCATTGAGTTTTGGTAGTTCGGAAAGCTTAAAAGAAAAATTATCTGTACTATGGACATCGATTCTATGGGCGATAGTACTTGTTTGGATCCTGATTTGTTGCATCTTCCAGAGTTGTCTCCGTTTGCGCTAAAACCGAGCCCTCAAATTGCTGACAATTTGTTTTCTCAGTGGCTTTCCCTTCCCGAAACTGGGCGGCTGGTAATTTATTTCCAATCCATAATTGTCTTGTGTTTTGGATGAGAATTTCTTATCCTGAAAGCTAGATAGTTTCTGGTTTGCTCTAAAGCAGGGTTTATTATTTGGTTGATCACATATTGGGACGTTGAATTACTCAATAAGCAAAGTTGTGTTAAGTTAATTATTCATCTTATCTCATGTGGTCTGACAGGTGAAATCTTTGATTGATGAGGCAAAGGCTGGCACTCCTTTCAATGCCCTCTCGAATACGATTAGCCCGAATTCCGCCGGTGGCAACACCTTGCCATCGGTGTTTCCTGCCGGCAGCACCCCGCCACTTTCTCCTAGAAGTTCTTCTGGTTCTCCGCGCTTTTCAAAGCAGCGAAGCAGTCCTCCTCTTGGCTCTCCGCTAAAGTTGGTCCCTGAACCAGCGCGAGAAGTCATTCCTCAGGTTGGACACGTTTCTGACAGTTAATAGTTCACTATTCGAAGTTTTGCTTATGAACTTGGGAATTCCTGCTTTGTTTTTGTTTCTCTTGTTTAGAAACTCATATTGTTGTATGGTGTCGTATGCTCACAGTTCTATTTCCAGAATGGTCGGCCTCCACCGAAGGGACTAAAGGAACAGTGTTTTTCTAGGGTGGACGAATTTTTCTTGAAACATAATGACGGATTGCGAATGCATGGTGGGATATTCATCTGAGCTCTCTGTTGCTTAGTTCCTTTATTCTTCATCTTCTTGTGAACATCTCTCTGGAAGGAAAATGGAAGTAGAATATGAGGGGAGAAAGTATCTGAAGTTTTCTGTTTACCTGTGCAGAGTTTAAGCCAATTACGAAGGAAATATGCAAACTTCCAACACTTTTCTCCTCTGCGCTTTTCAGGAAGATCGATACTGAATGCTCCGGGATGGTGACCAGGTAATGCACTTGATTCTTGTGTGGGTCTATTGGATTTATCATGTGCGCTACAAGTTTCCCTTTTAATACTAATGTTATTATTTGAAGATATATTTGTATTCTCAGATTGCCATTCTTTTGCCTGTTAATTATTTGGTACCTTAATTGTTGTAGGGATGCTTTCATTAAATACTTGGTTGATGGCAATATGCTGATTATGGATACAGAGACTAAGATATTTAAACTTTTGAAGCAGCCAAACTGCAATTATCTTTCTCAGGTTTGTTTTACACCTATAATTTTTGTTTTCAGCCCCACGAAATTTCATTTTGCTTAAAACTGCTCTTGATGCTTTATTAGTGGTTATATGCAATTACGTTGGCATTTATTCCGTCTTCTCTGTTTTATACATTTGACTTGGATTCAGGTAGACTTCAAACCTGTTATTCAAGAGCTTTTGGCAACCCATCTGGGGCTGGAATTCTTAAAGGGCACACCTGAATTTCAAGAAAGATATGGTATTGCTTTTTTTTTTTTTTTTTGGGAAATTGGAATTGCTTTTGTACTTGAAATGTAATATATCTTACTGCGAAAGGGACAATTTTGGTTATTCATATTTCTTCAATGTATTTAGACAGATTGATCAAACTTTTTGTTCTTTGCAGTCTTAACTAGATGCATGTGCGGAGTTTCATTTTATTTCCCTCTCGTATCTTCATCCTTTCTAAGCTAAAAAATTCAGTAATTAGTCAGTTAATTTAGCTCAGAACCTTTGCGGACTAGTTGGATTTCTTTGTCGTTGTATTGTTTATTGTTGTTATTTTATTAGTCTCCCTAACATTTATTATGTACGCTTCTTCATTATGTTTATTAGCTCAGAGGCACTTGTTTGGTCTTGATGCAGCTGAGACTGTCATATATAGGATATTTTACTACGTAAATCGATCAGCAAATGGCCGTCTTACCCTTAGAGAGCTGAAGCGAGGAAATTTGATAGCTGCAATGCAACGTGTGGATGAGGAAGACGATATTAACAAAGTTCTGAGGTTTGTTTGCTGGTGGATTTTGTGTAAAGTTATATTAGATAGTAGAACGATTGGTTTTTATAGTAGAATGATTGGTTTTTGTATACAGTCCCTGAATGTTGAGATCGAGAAACATTAATACTTTTGTCATCTGTGTTTCTCTTCTAAATTTCAGATACTTTTCTTATGAACATTTTTACGTTATATACTGTAAATTCTGGGAGCTGGACGCAGACCATGATTTCTTGATTGACAAAGAGAACCTCATCAAATATGGTAATCATGCCCTTACCTACAGGATCATTGATAGAATATTTTCACAGGTTTGTTTGTATTATCCAGTACTTTCTTCTTTTTGATGTTTCAGGTCAAACTAAATTGCTGCTCTGAAGTGGAACAGAGTATTTCCTGACAAAAGGTTTTGCTTTGTTTGTGTTTTTTACTTTGATTTCACACCAGGCCCCACGGAAGTTTAGTAGCAAGATTGAGGGGAAGATGGGTTACGAAGATTTTGTATACTTTATACTATCAGAGGAGGATAAGTCAACTGAGCCTAGCCTCGAGTATTGGTAAGATGCTGTTATATTCAGTCACCCTCCACTTGGTAATGTTTATAAACTTCTAGGTAATGTTGCAAGGAGGTCTTCTTGTAAGGTATTTTAATGCTCATTATTCCCGGAAATTAATTGTTGAGAAACGTGGATAAAACCTTCATTCTTAAAGAGAAAATGTAGGAAGTATAAATTATATTGACAAAGTTCATATAGATATAGTATTTGTAAAATGGTATATAAAGCATGTAGATTTTGATTTTATATGCAATACATCTTTCTAAAGCGTCAATCTGAATGCACTTTCTTTGAGTTTTTCACTTGAACAAGCTTTTTGTATGTTTTGTTAAGCTTACTATTTTGTACTCTTCTGGCAATGGCAGTTCAGGTTTTACTACTGGTTGTGAATTCTAAGTTGTATCTTATAGGTTCAAGTGCATAGATCTGGATGAGAATGGAGTCCTGACATCCAATGAAATGCAGTACTTTTATGAGGAGCAGCTGCACCGTATGGAATGCATGGGCCAAGAACCTGTTTTGTTCGAGGATATTCGATGTCAAATAGTTGATATGATTGCACCGGAGGTAAGAAAACATTTTTAGCTAAAGGCAAGTTCTCCTTTTCATACGACTCTCAGGGAGAGGTCTGATTTCATTAATGGAATTATGCTTGCAGAGGGAAGACTCTATTACGCTACATGACTTGAAACAGAGCAAACTTTCAGGAAACGTCTTCAATATCCTTTTCAATCTTAACAAGTTTATATCTTTTGAATGCCGTGATCAATCTCTCATTCGACAGGTAGGCTGCAGTAACCGGTTTTCTTCGCCATTAGATAACAATTTTTTGATTTCATGGTGCTTATTTGTTTTTTTGTGAATGTATGGCCTCAAATGGCTTTTGATGTGGACAGGAACGTGATGATCCCTCCTTGACAGAGTGGGACCGCTTTGCACATAGAGAATATCTCAGGCTCTCTATGGAAGAAGATGGTGAAGATGCCTCCAATGGAAGTATAGAAGTTTGGGATGAATCTTTTGAGGCTCCATTTTAGTTCAAGGAGGTGAGTTTGGCGCTTGGGTTAGAAAATGTAATGGCTTTTCCCCTAGGAAGTTTTACTTGGATTATGTTGATTTTTTTTTTTCTTTTGATTTTTTTTATATTCTTCAATTACCAATCAATTTAACAGTAGGAATTTTCATATCTCGCTCTTAAATAATAATCTTACAAAAATTGTCTTCGCCTTGGACCTTAATCGAGTTCCCATGGCACCAGAGTTGGATACTTTGCGCCATGCAAGGGGATCCAATGGGCCTCAACAATAATAAATGTGCTTGAAAAGATTGAATAATCACAGCTGGTTGTTTCTTGGCCCTTTTAGTTTGACAATTTATGGTTCTCTTGCCCACCTGCCAGATAACAATTACCTAAGTTTAGACGATTGTCTTTGGATATTTGGCTTAGGCTAAAAGGATAATTGTGTATTCATACCAACAAAGAACTTGTTAAATCAGTGTGATATCTTCTTTCCCTTCTGTTTGCAAAATGAACGATCCTTGTAGGAGTTGTTTATATATTAGGTTATTTGCAATGTTGCACTGACAGCTTCGTTTTTCTCTATGCGTGCAATGAACTGATCGTGTGGCCCTCTTGGATTTCTGCAGATTCCTGTAGGATGGATACCTTGATGCTTCACAGAAGTTGTTCATTTAATGAAGAAACGCTGTCGCTTGGAAATTCTCCATGGAAGTCATGAGGGATGGTAGCTCTTGCTGCTCACCTTTGTTGGACAATATGCGGGCTTGGGTGAAAACGGGAGGAGTCGGGCTGAACTGCACAGAGGTAGAGGCAAAAACTGAAGAGCAGCTCTATCGTTGGCTTGGTTCCTCCATTTTTTCTCTAGGAAGAAATTAATAAGTTCTTACAGGTGAGTGCGGCTTGGATCGTAGTAGTTGGAAGCTCTATGTTGGCCTCATCCTCTTATCTTTCTATGTTCTTTTATTGGATTTATGGTTTTGGAAAACTGAAAAAGAATTGAGGTCGCCAAAGAATATGAACTGTGATGTACACAATAGAGCATCCTGGTTTTGAAGGATTCTGGAATCGGCTTTTGTATCAGAGTGTGCGCGAGTAATTCACTAGTCCTCGTCTTTTGCATATAAATAAGCAAAAACAAGGTGTCATTAGTGGTTGTTTGTTTTCGGTCTTAATAGACGAATAGTATTTTTGTTTATAAATATGCGAATTGACTTTTGCGTCTGAAACCAGATCATTGGTATTGGTATAATGATCCCAGCAAAAGGAAAAATAATAATAATAATAATAAAACAAGTACTTGCTCTATCATTGATCTGGGAGAGAAAAAAAAATCCAGTTAAGCAATAGGTTTTGAGTTTTGTTGTTGCTAATGAACACTATCCGCAATTTAATTGTTGCAATTTGTTTGATCGGTCAAGATTATGTTTGAACTTCGAAAGTAAGAAGCAATATAAACACTCAGTTACTTTTTCCAAATGCCTGTTAAATTACGCTTAATAGTACTTATTAAGCGTAGTTTCCACCCCACCCCCCCCCTTGAAAAGGCCTAGTTGTTTATTTATATTACTTTCACGTGTAACTTAAAGCTTACATGCGATAATATTTCCATGGATTTGCAAGAACATATACTACGAGACAACACACAAAATATAAAAACCAAAACCAACGCGTTAGCTTAAATGCGAAAGCAAGCTCCATTTCATTTCAATAACAAAAATACATTGGTATCGTCAATATATCAATCTACAGTTCAAAGGCTGTATAAAAATAATGTCGTACCAAAATGTCGAATTTGCTAGTTCCTCCTACAGAACAATACATAAACAGAAACAATCGAAAAAATGAAACCAAGCAAAATTGTAACACTGAAATAAATGCGGATTCAAACTGCACTTTCCTTTTTAAGTTTTGCTAGCTCCTGCCTGATGAGTCCACCTCTCTGCACATAAGCAATTAGCAAAACATATTGAGACCTTGACAACAACAATCCACAAAATATGTTATATACAAGTTAAAACACTCGAACAAATAGATATATACGTATATAAGTTAAGCTGTTCACAAGCATGAGCCCTTGGCCGCTCGTTTAATTATTTATTTATTACCAAAACCGGAAAAGCGCTATGTGTAGAAATAAACTTATTCAGTGAACATATATATATATATATTGTACATATATATAGCGCTTAAAAGTTCTAACAATTTGAATCCAAAAATTAGAACATATTTGAGTTATGTTGCCAGGGCACTTGTAAGTCAGAAATCATTAGGATTAACACTAACACGCCTGCTGGACCTTATGCAAACTGAATCAAAATTATCAATATGCAATGAAAGTGAAATAAATAGCAATCTTAATTTGTAAGACCGATCAAAATGCCAAGAAAACAAATGTAGAAAGTTAGTCGACCATCGCTAACCTTTATCTTTGCCAACATGAGCTTAAATCGGTCGAAGTCTTTAAGGGAAGCCCTTCTCTTTTGCACAATCAGCTTCCTGCCCCAGGAACTGTTCTCCCACTTGTTCTTTACGTCTGTCATCATCATTCAAAAGCTCAATTTCATCAAACATGCATTAAAAAATATATGTCTATATGTGTGTGTGTGTGTGTAAAGCAGGAGTAAAAAAGTTCAGATCTTTAAATTCGTTAAGAGTTCACTCAAAGCTCACCAGCGGCTTCGATGGCAGCAATTAGAGTCTTCTTCTTAGGCACCCTTTTAATGTCAACCTTGATATCCGTGAGAGAAAGACGCTTGAAGTTCATTTGGGCCCTCACCATGTCAGGGGCATCAACAAGAGCCTGGACAAAAATATGATAAGACAAGATATAGCATTTGACATAAGAAACAAATAAATTATATTACAAAATCCAGAATAAAAAAAATCATGGCAACTAAATACTTAAATCACCAAACATCCATTCACTTTCTTGTACAGTTTTAGCAAAAAAAAAAAAAAAATGCAAAACAAATTTACGAAAAAACTAATGTCAACATATATAATAATAACACATTAGAAATTAGAATTGTAATCATAAACTCTGAAGAATAAGGCAAAAAAAAAACCCTGTTTTGATCGATAACGTCAACGATGACGACGAGTTTGCCATAGTCTTTCCCGTAGTTAACGAGAGCCACTCGCCCGATCTCCACGTACCTCTTGAACACCTGCAATTGCAAATCACACCCAGTACCAATCAATTCATCAACAAATATGCTTTCAAATTAAACAAGAGAAATTTTCAGAATCCAGTGTTTCATTTATTTCGTTTTCCTGGAAGCCAAACAGAGGGCACACTCACCATTTTTGTGTTGCGAGTGCGGGATCTGAAAAAGAGTCGGGACGGGGGAGTCGAGGCAAGAGAGAGAGCTAGGGTTTCGACCACCACATGTAATAGGAGGCCTCAACCAATCGGATTTTTTAAGCCAATTTTAAACGATGGTGCTTTTTATTTTCATTTTGAAATTCATGATGACGTGTTCGCTTTCGTTTTTGGATTTTTTATGATATTATTTTATTTTTATGCATAACTAGAACCATACATTTTTTTTACTTGCGAATTTCTCCGGTAATTATGTATTATTTTCTTGAGAATTTTTCTGGTAGAATAAAAAAACAAATTATTAATAATTTTTTATTTTTTAATCGTTAAATTTATATTAAAAATTATTTGTTCAACATATATTTTTAATTTAGTGTGATTTTGACCGTATATAATGATAATAAAAATTTATTATTTTTTTTAATAATTTATTATTTTTACTATATTTAGGTCTCGTTTATTTCACCGATTCGAATTTTCAATTTTAGTTTTTTACAATAAAAAACTCTCAAAAATTGTCACATTTAACTTTTTCTGTTACAGTAAAAAGCTCTAAAAAAATATTACGTTTCAGCTCAAATTAAAAACTCGAATTCGTAAAGTGAACGAGGCCTTAATGATAATAAAAATTATTATTTTCTTTAATAATTTTACTATCGTTCAACCGAGAATTTAGTATACTAAAAACAACTAACACACTAAATACTAATTGTGATAGCCTCAATTATTAACCTATATATTACTTTCTTAAACTCCATATCTCTAAATAATACAATAACTTTTTTGTATCTTGAAATTTTCATTCACTTTAGAATGAAAATATGACAAACTCTTTTTAAAAAAAAAAAAAATTAACAATAAATATATTTACATTGCAAAGTAAAGTTGCTTATTAAGACCATCTCTAATGTAATGTTATAATTGATGTGTCAATTATAAATTTAACATTTAAGTGTTAAAAAAAACTCTACAATGTAATGTTATTTGTTGTGCAATTTCACATATATTATACTTTATGGTAAAATTCTTACCAAGTACAACGTATGAGAATTTTGACATTTAATTGATATTGGTTAAAATGTTTACTTTTTTTTTTTGTAATCATTGCAATTTTTACATTTTTAATTATTTTAAAGGTAAAAGTTTACTTTAAAACTTTTAAAGCTTAATTATTATAAAAAAAAAAGTGGGTTTAGTATTTTAAATAACATTATACATTTGAACAAAAATAAAAAATACATATCATATCATACTTTTTTATGTTAAATATATAATTAATATTAGCATTTGCATTGAAAATGGTGACGGCTAAAATTGACAAGAAGGCCTGCTTTTTTTTTTTTTTGGAAGTTTGGGAGCCTGTTAAACAAATTTTCTGAAATAAAGACTCAAGCGCCAAGAGCTCAAAAGTTTAGAACCCAGAGCGCAAATTTCCAAGAGGAATGAAGAAAGGATACCAAACTACGAAAAATCATCCAAAAACGATAATAAGATTGAAAAAACAGTATGAAAATATAAACGACAATACTCCAAAACGTTGAAAATAAACGACGTCAACATAAAAATGTAATTACAACACTATGAAAACGACAGTAAAAACAAAATGACATCAAACGAAAATGACAGCCACTGGAAAAGAAAATAACTTTAACAAACGACACCAAATAGTGAAACCACAATACTATCAAACGAGAATAAAAGCAAAACGACAACAATATAAATGAAATTAAATTTAAGAAAATGACTTCAAAATAGAGACGAAATGAAAAAATGACATCAAATAAAGACAATATCAAACTTTTTTTTATGGGAAGGACAATGATAACGAATAAACACCGTGAAAGTGAAAAATACCACCAACTTACAAAAATAAAATAAAAGAGAACGACACATTTCTTTTTTTTTTTTTTTTGAGTAACATATCACTCTTAATGTCGATTAGCCAATCCAAAATAAGTCTTCTTATTGGGAAAAAAAATCAAAATTACGTTTTTATTGATTATAAAAATAAGTTTTAGCACTTGTGCCCCTTCTATATTTTGTAGTTTGACATTTTCATCGTTGAACTTTTTTCTAATAGAACTTTTAGAAGAATAGTTGATAGTTGATATCAACTCTTTGGGGTTATTCTTTTCACAACTTAAATTTTATTGCTATAATATTTCTTGTTAGAAAGATTGTAATATGTCTTGATCAAGATCACAAGTTGTTTGAGTATTAAAACATGAAAACTCGTGTTAAAGGGACTTCAAAAGTTGTAGCAGAAAAACTGCTTTGATTCGGCCAAACCGGCTGCAGTCGAAATATTTTGGGTGCAGCCGAAATATTTTGGCTGCAGCCGAAACATTTTGGGTGTAGCCGAAATATTTTGGTTGCAGCTAAAATGTTTGCATGTCTCGGGTTTGTTTGCGGCTGTAGCAGGAAAACATCCGCTGCAGCAGAAAATTATGCAGAAAATAATGTTTTCATGAGTTTATGTGATCTAAAACGTTTCGAACCATTACATCCATTAATGATATGTTTTCATACATATCTAAACACTAATTAGCAATAGATATAACTATTGTAATAGGTGTATTAATCCATGAAAATATACCTTTACATTGAAAAGGTACCTTTATGTGAATGGTTGTTATGTTTAAAGATGATACATTCATTCATCAAATGACACCTCTATCTTTATTAATTCTCCAGAAAATTTACAGACTTTATTCATGTTCTAAAACTCAATATTATTGCTAGATATTGTGTTTAAGAGTTTGTTGTATTTTGGGGGTAATTTGCCATTAAAATCATTAGCAAACTTTGAGAAGTGAGGGCAAATAAAATCTTAAAAGAAAGTATTCTTATACGTCTCAAACCCTATCTTGTTTCTGTATTCTTTTCACCCTCTACACTCAAATTTCTCCAACAATCTTTAAGGTTTTAAGTTCCTGCAATGAAGGTTGAAAAGAACATGACGTCTTTCCTCAATCCGAATGTCCAACTTGATAGATTTGACGGTATCAATTTCACCTGCTGAAAAGGAAAGTTGTTCTTTCTTCTCACCATGCTTAAGATTGCCTATGTGCTTGATCCGAAGTTGGAGCCTCTTCCGGAACCGAAGGAGGATGATTTCGAAGACTTGAAGGCTGCAAGGAAGAATCATGAAGATGATGAAGTCATGTGCCGGGGTCATATTCTCAACACTCTATCCGATAGACTCTACGATCTCTACAACTCGATGGAGTCTCCGGTGGAGATTTGGAACGCTCTCGAATACAAGTACAAAACTGAAAAGGAAGGTACGAAAAAATTCATCATCTTGAAATTTCTTGAATTTGTCATGGTTGATACCAAGTCCATTCTAGATCAAATACATGAATTGCAAGTCATTGTTACTAAGCTTCGTTAATTGAAAGTTGAAATTTCTGAATCATTCCAAGTGGGGACAATTATTGCTAAATTGCCTCAAAGTTTGAATGGTTATAGAAAGAAACTCTTTCATATGAGAGATGACATAACTTTGGAGGAATTACAAAAACACTTGAGGATCGAAGAAGAGACTAAGTCTCGTGATCTCAAGGGAAAGATTATTGATTCCTCTAAGGTTAATATTGCCGAAGCTAGTAAGTTTTCCAAGAACTTCAAAGTCAATAATGACAAGAAGTTCAAAAAGCCCGGTAATGGCTAAAAGAAATTTTCTGAAAATTGTTTCTTTTGTGGAAAGAAAAGCCATCGCCAAAATGACTGCAAACAAGACGAAAAATGAAGAAGTTAACACCAACAAGGCCAATATTGTTGAAGAGAAATCCAAAGACATTTGTGCTATGGTCTCGAAAATGTAAATTGGCATGATTACCGAAACTAACATGGCTGCAACAAATTCCTCTGAATGGTGGCTTGATTCCGGTGCCACAATCCACGTTTGTAATGACAAGAATTTGTTCTCATCATACAAAGTGGAAAAGGAAGGACAAACGGTTCTCATGGGGAATAATGATGTAGCGAAGGTTACCGGGAGAAGAGTGGTGGAGATCAACTTTACTTTCGAAAAGAAGCTTACTTTGAAAAATGTTCTTCATGTTCCTGACATTAGGAAAAATCTTGTATCCGCTAGTCTAATGTGTAAGAATAGGCTTAAGATTGAACTTGAGGGCAATAATTGTATTGTATCTAAGAATGAGGTCTTTGTGGGAAAGGGATATTCTTGTGATGGCATGTACAAACATAGCATTAATAATAAAGATGATGTGAATTCTCTTTATATTGTTGATTCTTTTGATGTTTGACATGCACGTTTATCACACTTAAATTTTAAATCTTTGAAATATATGTCTAAACTGGTTTAATTAATTGTAAAGATGTTAAAAATGATAAGTGTGAAATTTGCATACAAACAAAGATGACTAAGAAACCCTTTCCTAGAGCCGAACGAAATACACAAATATTGGATATGATTCATACCGATATTTGTGAGTATAATGGGCTTTTGACAAGAAGAGGAAAGAGACACTTTATCACTTTCATTGATGATTGTTCTAGATACAATTATGTGTATTTACTTAGAACAAAAGACGAAGCCTTTGATAAATTTAAAGTGTATAAGGCTGAAGTTGAGAACCAAAAAGATAAGAAGATCAAAATGGTTCGAAGTGATAGAGGTGGTGAATATTTCTCAAATGAATTTGATGCCTAGAGCATGGTATTATTCACCAAAATTCAGCCCCTTTCACGCCTCAACAAAATGGATTGGCTAAAAGAAAGAGTATGATTTTTACTGATATGATTAACTCTATGCTTCTTAATGCTAAATTGCCTAATAATTTATGGGGGGAAGCTTTACTTACTGCATGTCATGTTCACAATAGAATTACATCTATAAAAACACATGTATCTCCATACGAAATATGGAAAGGAAGAAAACCAAACTTGATGTATTTAAGGGTGTAGGGCTGTCTAGCCTTTTATAGAGTGATTGACCATAAATCATCAAAGTTAGGTGCTAGAGGAATTAAAAGTGTTTTCGTAGGATATGCTGAAAATTCCAAGGCTTATAGATTATTGAATCTAGATTCTAATGTCATTGTGGAATCAAGAGATGTTGAATTTATTGAGAACAAGTTTAGCCTTAATTCTTCCACGTAATTAGAATCAAATGTTAATCAACCATGTGTTGACATTCCTGATACCTCCACTAATAAAAAGAAAGAGTCTATGACATTTTTCGAACCGAGAAGAAGTCAACGTGAAAGAAAAAAAAAGGACTTAGCACCGGATTTTATTTCATCTCAAGCTTTAACCTTTTTGGTTGAAGGAGATAGAAATTGTGTACTTAATAAAATACAATTGTTGCTTAATGTAGAAGAAGATCCAAAGACATTTAGTGAAGCTATGTCTTCTAGGGATGCCTCCTTTTGGAGAGAGGCTGTAAATAATGAAATGGATTCAATTATATCGAATCAAACTTGGATCTTGGTTGATCTTCCTTCAGGATCAAAACCAATAAGCAACAAATAGGTGTTTATAAGAAAGTACAATACCAATGGGTCTATACAAACATTCAATGCTAGATTGGTAGCCAATGGCTTTAAACAAAAGCATGGTATAGACTACTTTGATACATATGCTCCAGTAGCTAGATTGACATCCATAAGAGTTCTATTTGTAGTTGCATCAATATACAATTTGCATGTGCATTAAATGGATGTTAAGACGACTTTTTTAAATGGTGATGTTGATAAGAAAATCTATATGGAACAACCCGAAGGGTTCGTATTGCTTGGAAATGAAAAGAAGATTTGCAAGTTAGTCAAGTCGCTTTATGGTTTAAAGCAAGCACCAAAACAATGGCATGAGAAAGTTGATAATGTCATTTTATCTTATGATTTTAAGCATAATAATACGGATGAATGCATATACTCTAAATTTATAAATAATTTTATTACGATTATATGTTTATATATTGATGACTTGCTTATCTTTGGAACAAACATGCAAGGGGTAAATGATACCAAGAAATATCGAACTTCATAATTTAAGATGAAAGATCTTGGTGAGGTAGATACTATCTTAGGTGTAAAAGTGAGGAAGCATAGTGGGGGTTACTCGTTGTGTCAATCTCATTATATTGATAAGGTGCTTCTTAAATTCAATCATTTGAAGTTTAAAGAAGTGAATACCCCATATGATTCTAGTATTAAATTACTAGAGAATGCAGGCCGAGCGGTTGCACAGCTTGAATATGCTAGTGCGATTGGTAGCTTAATGTATACCATGCATTGTACAAGACCCGACATAGCATTTGCGGTATGCAAAATGTCTAGGTTCACAAGTAACCCAGGTGTTGAACATTGGAATGCAATTGGATATTGATAAGGTGCTTCTTAAATTCAATCATTTGAAGTTTAAAGAAGTGAATACCCCATATGATTCTAGTATTAAATTACTAGAGAATGCAGGCCGAGCGGTTGCACAGCTTGAATATGCTAGTGCGATTGGTAGCTTAATGTATACCATGCATTGTACAAGACCCGACATAGCATTTGCGGTATGCAAAATGTCTAGGTTCACAAGTAACCCGGGTGTTGAACATTGGAATGCAATTGGTAGAGTACTTGGTTATCTTAAAAGAATCATTAATTTGGGTTTGTCATATAACGATTATCCGGCAGTACTTGAAGGGTACTCGGATGCAAGTTGGATAACAAGTGCAAGTGATAACAAATCCACATCCGGTTGGATTTTCACAATTGCGGGAGGAGCCGTCTCTTGGACTTCTAAGAAACAAACGTGCATAACTCATTCTACGATGGATAGTGAGTTTATAGCACTTCCCGCTGCGGGCAAAGAAGTGGAATGACTGAGAAATCTATTATTTGATATTGAGTTGTGGCCACAACCGATGCCATTTATTTCTTTGTACTGCGATAGTGAAGCTACTTTGTCTAGAGCTTATAACAAAGTTTATAATGGAAAATCTAGACATATTAGCTTGAGACATGAATATGTGAAATAGTTAATAACCGATGGTGTTATCAATATTGGTTATGTTAGGACAAACAAGAACCTAGCGGATCCTTTGATAAAAGGTCTTTCAAGAGACTTAGTTAAAGAAACATATAGTGGAATGAGACTGAAACCTTTCTTTGAAAGAGTCACCGATGATGGTAACCCAACTATGTAATAGTTGTACCACTATTCCATAGTTAAATGGGTAAGAACAAGTCATTGTTATGTGACCGGTTTAGCACCGAAATTTAATTAGTCACTTCCAAGATGTCGGTGCAAAATAGCTATGTTATTGATGTTGAGTTTATACTCTTAATGGAGTTCGAGTCTCATAGTAGCTAGAGATATAATTCGAAACTTCACCTAAGTGAACATAAGGAATGATGCCGTTCCTAACGAGACCGTGGTTTAGTCTCGTAAATGTTCATGAATCCAAGATAGAGCACAATTCCGGAATAGTGCTAAACGATTGGAACATATTTTAAGTCTGAGATAACACATATGTGATATATTTTTGGTATTTGCTCAAGAGACAAAGTTTAATGCAAAACACATTGTTGTCTTGTGAATACTTTGAAGTATAGTCACTAATTAGAGGTTAAAATCGAAAGATACCTTCATGTATGTGTGTGTTTATCATTGTTAATTCTGAAGAAATATAACAATCTAGTTGGGGATTGTTAGAGAGATTGTAATATGTCTTGATCAAGATCACAAGTTGTTTGAGTATTAAAACATGAAAACTCATGTTAAAGGGACTTCAAAAGTTGTAGCAGAAAAACTGCTTTGATTCGGCCAAACCGGCTGCAGCCGAAATATTTTGGGCTACAGTCGAAATATTTTGGCTGCAGCCGAAATGTTTGCATGTCTTGGGTTTGTTTGCGGCTGCAGCGAGAAAACATCTGCTGCTGCGGAAATTATGCAGAAAATAATGTTTTCATAAGTTTATGTGATCTAAAACATTTCAAACCATTACATCCATTGATGTATGTTTTCATACATATCTGAACACCAATTAGCAATAGATATAACTATTGTAATAGGTGTATTAATCCATGTAAAGATACCTTTACATTGAAAAAATATCTTTATGTGAATGGTTGTAATGTTTAAAGAAAATGCATTCATTCATCAAATGACACCTCTGTCTTTATTAATTATCCAGAAAATTTACAGACTTTATTCATGTTCTGGAACTCAATATTATTGCTAGATATTGTGTTCACGGGTTTGTTGTATCTTGGGGGTAATTTGTCATTAAAACTCATTAGCAAACTTTGAGAAGTGAGGGCAAATAAAATTTTAATGAAAAGTATTCCTATACGTCTCAAACCCTATCTTATTTCTGTATTCTTTTCACCCTCTACACTCAAATTTCTCCAATATTTATTTCATAAAAATTTAAAATTAACTTTTTTATTATAATATTTTTCTCTCACATACTTGTGAAAAGAACAACCCATTTGTCTTGATAGAAATTAAATCATAGGAACTTTTATGACCAGTTCAAGAGCTAAATTATAATGTACATTTATTTGTATGTACATACTTGCATATCATAACATATTTGCACATATGTGTGTACATTTTTAGTGACTAAAGTGTTAAACTATGAGAATTTAGGAGGATACACCAAAAAAATATATTGTGATTCTGTCCAAAATTTAACCTTCGTAATTGGAGTTCATTGCTATTATTTTGAAATGAACTCCAATTACGATTCATTTTAAAATAATATCAGTGTGTTTAATTGGTGAATTTATATTATGATTCAGATCATAATTCATGACTCATTATAATATTTTATCTCATAAAAAATATACATAAATTAAATTATAATTTTAAATTATAATTTTAAATCTATCAACTAAATATCTACTAAATCTTCCCGAAACAAATGTTCAGATTCAAAAGTCCTAAACCACAAAAAAGTTAGGGGTGTAGGTGCTAAAAACCGATAAAAAGAGGGTTTTTTTTTTTTTTTTTCCAAAAAAGTAACGAATAAGCAAAGCCCATCGAAAGAGGACAAGACAAAAGACATCTCAGCGATGGATTGTCAAATCAAATAACCGCTAAAATAATTCTTACGATCGTTTCCTCTTCAGAAAAAACCAAAGCCAAAGTCCTTTTTTTTTTTTTTTGGGAGAAATCTTCAATATTATTCTTTGCGTCTTCAATCTTCATCGCTTCCATCTTACTTGCTCTCTGATTTTTATCATCTCTCGACTAAAAACCCACATGGGGATTATAGAATTTGCAACCTTTTCTTGAATGCTCTGTTCAAAGGTACAAAAGACAGGATTTTTTTTTTTAAATTTTTGTTTTCTCCTGTTTCGCGATCTTCTGTAATGGCATGTTAATGTTTCATTACTTCGTTAATAATATGCAGAAAGTATTGGGTCTTCTTCCTTTGTTACAAAAGTTAAACCCAAAGGATTGAATCTTTAACTCGAGAAACTAATTAAAAAAAAAACAGATTGAATTTGTTGTATAGAGAGATTATGGTTTGGAAATGTCAAGAATACAGAAACGATTTTACAACGTGAAATCTTAGGATTTTTTGAAATTGTACGCAGTGATGATGATGGGTATTTGATCGTCTCGAGGTTTTCTTTTTTTTTTTTTTTTTTTTTTTTTTTTTTTTTTTTTGGGGGGTAAAAAAAAACTTTTTCTTTGGGTGGTCAAACTACAAATTTTCATAGAGTTATGCGTTTGAAGAGGCTGGTGATGAATGTTGTTCTTTGATGACACAGTCAAAGAGGAAACGGAAAGAGATTGCTTTGGTTGTCAGAAATGGCAGCGCTTTTCATGAAGAAAGCTTCCACAGCTGAATTGGAGACTTTTTATCCAATTAGACCAGAATGCCAAAAAGATGTCCCCAAAACCCGTTTTAAGCTCAGGGTAGGCATATTAGTTTCTTCACTTCTTTTAATGACTTTTCTTTTTTCTTATTGGGCTTTATTTGTATCAACATAATAGAATCCATACTCGTTATTACCTGTAAGTGCTGGTTTTACCATTATGGATATCTTCAGTACTTAGATACTGAAAAGTAGAGTATTTTGATACCAAAGAAATTGGAATTTTCTTTTCCTTTTTTGCTTTTAATAGTGTGAACTGTGAAGAGTTTTTAACTGAAATATGTATGCTTTGAAAATATGTATGTACTTTCTTTGACAGGCAGGGAAAACCCTCAGCGCCAGAAGATGGAAAGCTGCCTTCTCTCAGGATGGTCGTCTGGATATAGCAAGTGTGCTTAGAAGAGTTCAACGAGGGGTAAAGAAAACTTGTGGTGTTTTTACGTGTGTTTCTTTGGCTATACAACTGGGACCATAAACCATAGTTGTAGGCTGTTGAGTTTTAACTTGATTTTTTGTTTTTTGTTTTTTAATTTTTGTGCCAGGGTGTTCATCCTTCCATTAAAGGGGTGGTCTGGGAATTCTTGTTAGGTTGTTATGATCCAAATAGCACCTTCGAAGAACGAAATATTCTCAGGCAACGCCGGAGGTAAGGTATTCATTGGATTGGAGTTTGATTCCTTAGGAGTCTATTTTCTCCCTCTTAGCTCATAGCTTATATAGTTCTGAATAATTTTACCTATTATAAGAATCGCTCTGAGGCTATTTTAGCTCCAAGTTTTAGATTTTTTTTTTGGGTAATAATTGGATTTGGGATCAGGTACAGTTTATGATAAGGAATAAACTGTAATTTATGTCGTGCCTGATTCTATGCTGGAGTTGGAGAGAGTTGCTTGTGAAATGTACATCAATGCCTCAATGCTGGAAGAGGTGGATTTGGAATGGCAGCCTTTGCTTTAGGAACTTTTTAGATGCTTTTTAATCTAAAATGCTTGCTTTTCTTGCATCTTGGTAGTCTTTCTTTGTATAATTCCCGTGCATTTGGGTTCTGAACTTTCGCCTTTTCTTAATATTTTGTTTGTATCTATGAAAACAGAACAATCTTGAAGTGTTGTTTCCAATGACATCATATTGCCACCTCTCCTCTTTTTCTTCCTAATAATCACATTTACCACTTTAGGGACCAGTATCGCACATGGAAAAATAAATGTCAAAAAATGGTCCCAATTATTGGTAGTGGAAAGTTTGTTACGACACCTATCATCACCAATGATGGCCAACCGATGGAAGAATCAACAAGTGACAGTACGAGAGATGACGGTGTTATGTCTACATCTTCTCTTAATTCAGACAAAAAAGTGATTCAGTGGAAGCTTTCCTTACATCAAATTGGTATTTATGTGTTCAGTAACTCCATTTCTTTTCTTTCTCTCTTTGTTTATTTTTTATTTTTTGTTTTTGTTTATTTTTTTCTTTTAGCACGTGTATGACTGAAGTGATGGAATTTGGCACTGTAGGTCTAGATGTTGTGCGAACAGATCGAGTACTTGTTTTTTATGAGAGCGAAGCTAATCAGGCCAAACTTTGGGATGTTCTTTCTGTTTATGCTTGGTTGGACAATGATATTGGTTATGTCCAAGGTGAGTTTTCATGAATTATCCTCTAAAACTGGTGACTGTTCTGAGAAGACGACTATGATTTGGTTCCTTTTGAACAGGAATGAATGACATATGCTCACCGATGGTTATTCTTCTTGACGATGAAGCTGATGCATTTTGGTGTTTTGAACGTGCAATGCGAAGGCTGGTATTTCTTTTATCTATATACTATCTTGCTCCAGTTCTCAATTTTAAGTTTGCATAGTATTCCTTGCCATGAATTTGTCATGAGCTATAGCCAACAATTCTGATAGGAACCAGCAATTTCTTAAGACATGCAGCTTTATTGAATCAAAATAAACTGAAGAAACACAAATATAGCAGCATTCGAGAGGATGCAACTATCCCAAATCTTGGTTTCCCAAACCCTAAAGAATTCTCAAAACTCTCACAAATCAGACATAATCCTTCCACTCGCTGCTAACCCCTTTTTATACTAATAACTACCTTCTAACAAATTGCTAAAATGACCATCTAGTCCATTAAACTAATTACCAACTCTATTACATTACCCAGTACCTAACAAATTCCAGTCCAGTAGCTTTAATGATCATTCAAAATAAAAAGGTGGGATAACAGCCAAGTAACTCCATAAGTCTATATATACTTTGACCCTTCTTTGCATCATGAAGAGAAGAGAATACGTCCTCGCGGTCATTAATACTGAACAGAGCTATAGATACGAGTACTCTCATTTCTTGCATGATTGGAGCTTTTATTTATGTTTGTTTATGGTAAAATTAAGACTCCTGCTTTGTTTTGATAACAGAGAGAAAATTTTAGGAGCAGCTCAAGTTCCATAGGTGTGCAAGCTCAGCTGTGTACGCTCTCCCAAATAATCAAAGCTATAAATCCTAAGCTTCATCATCACCTTGGTACTTGTTCTTGCTCCTATTTTTTGTTATGATTTCTCTAAACTTATCATGATTGGAGGGCAAGCTTAAGTTATGAAGGCCTCGTTCATTTCATTAGTTCGAATTAGAACTCAAGTTTTTGCTACAATATTTTTTCTCACAAAAATTCAAATTCAACTTTTTGTGCTACAGTATTTTCTCACATAAATTCACTTTTTAACTCGAATCAATGAAAAGAACGAGGCCGAAATAAGTGTCCATGATGACTGATAATCGCATCCCTGCCAATTTTTTTTTATCAACTATAAATTACTTTCACAACTACTTTGGAATAAAGGTTCTTTAGAATTCCATGACATCCCAATATAGAGATGTAGCCGAGTATGGAATAATTGTGGGGGAAAGTTATTAGTTGACTTTGAATGATTTCACTAAAGTTTTGGGATAGGTGATTAGGCAGTTTCCCTCTTTTTTGATTTGTTTCCTTATTTATCTTGTTTCCTTTTATTTGTTGTTCCCTGGCTTATCTATATAAGGAGGCCGGTGTACATGCCTAGGAATATGAATGAGAGAACTATAATTTTCATTCTTCTAGCAGTGTTTATCCTCTAGTGCTATCTCCTCGGGTTCTTGCTATATGGTATCAGAGCCAGTTTAGTCTGGACATTCTTAAACTCCGAGTTGTAGATGGCAGCGTATAGGAGGGCTTTGACTAGAGCAAGCGGAGGCAATGTCCCTGAGGAAAGTTCCAACACCTCTCGGGCTACCTCCACAATTGCTCCCACTGCTATTTCTCAACCCACTTCCATGAACCCCGAAAGTTCTAACCATATCTCTCTACAAATTACCACCCACAAATTAAATGGAAAGAATTTTCTTAAGTGGTCTCGTTCAGTGTTGATGGTTTTACAGGGAAGAGGAAGATTGGGCTACTTGGATGGTTCAATTCCACAGCCCAAAATTGAAGACCCTTCTTATGCGAATTGGGAAGCTCAAAACTCCATGGTGATGGCTTGGTTGATTCACTCGATGGAAGACAACATTGCAGATACCTACGCACTGTTTCCCACGACAAAAAAAATCTGGGATGCTGTAAACTTGGCCTATTTCGATTTAGAGAATGCCTCACAGATGTTCGAATTGCGAAACAAGGTGAGAAATCTGAAACGAGGGGAGTACACAGTATTATCATGAGTTGACAAGACTTTGGCAAGAATTGGATCTCTTCTCATTTCCATCTTGGAAAGACCACGAAGATGCAGTCTTGTATAGAAGGATGATAGATCAGGACTGGATATATGATTTCCTTGCGGGACTTAATAAAGACTTGGATGAAGTCCGTGGCCGATTGCTAGGAATGAGACCTCTGCCCCAAATTGAAGAAATTTTCGCTGAGGTGCATAGAGAAGAAACAAGAAAGAAGGTCATGCTTGGAGGAAATATGCAGAATTTAGAGAACTCTGCACTTGTTGTTCGTGAACATGGACAGGAGAATCCGGGGGAAGGAAAAAATAACAAGAAATGGTGCGAACATTGCAAGAAACCTTATCATACCAAGGAGACTTGCTGGAAACTACATGGCAAACCGACCAACTGGACACCTCGGAACCGTGGACGTGAAGGAAAGGGATTTCAGGCAGCAGCCGAGAAAACTGATGAAGAATTAACCACTACAGCACCGGTTTTCTCCAAGGAACAACTGGAACAATTAAGGCAGATGATGACACAATCATCTTCCCACTCATCATTTCTCATGGCTCAAAGAGGTAAAGCATTAACTGTTTTTTGTGGCTTGGCAGAAAAAGAAGAACCATGGATTATTGACTCAGGAGCAACGGACCACATGACTGGTTGTGGTAAACTTTACACCACATATATTCTCAACGCTGGAAACTGCAAAGTGCAGATTGCCGATGGGACCTCCTCTGTGGTGGCCGATACTGGGACTATAAGAATTGGACCTAGTGTCACATTAAAAGAGGTTCTCCATGTGCCAAATCTAAGTTTTAATTTTTTGTCCATAAGTAAGATAACCAAAGACTTAGACTGTGAAGTAATTTTTCTGCTGTCTGTTTGTATCTTTCCGGACCGATTATTGGGAAAGAGGATTGGCAGTGCTGAAGAGCTGGATGGCCTATACTACTTTAAGGATGATTCTGGCGTTAATGGGAAAGCTCAGATGGTTACAAGCAATTCTATCTCTAGAACTCAAAAAGTTATGTTATTGCATTATAGATTAGGATATCCTAGTTTCCCTTATTTGAAGTTTTTGTTTCCATCTTTGTTCAAGAATAACGAAAAATTTCAATGTGAAGTTGTTAATTAGCAAAGCACACTCGTGTTCATCTCTTTCCTTTACCATACCGGGCATCAAAACCATTCATTCTTATTCATAGTGATATTTGGGGACCTTCTCGTATTTCAAGTCTTACCAACAAAAAATGGTTCATAACCTTCACCGATTACCACACACGTGTCTGTTGGGTTTATCTCCTAAAAGAAAAATCCGAAGCCGGGAATGTTTTCAAAGAATTTCATGCAATGATTAAAACACAATTTGATGAGAATATTAAATTCTTGAGAATTGATAATGGCACCGAATTTTTCAATGCCATGTTAGGGGAATTTGTGAGAAATAATGAAATTATCCATCAAAGCTCATGTATTGATACACCACAACAAAATGGAGTGGACAAGAGAAAAAATCGTCATCTTTTAAAAGTTGCCCGGTCATTACTGTTTACAGCAAATCTTCCTAAACATTTTTGGGGTGACGCAGTTCTAACTGCAACATACTTGGTAAATAGGGTACCCTTCGAGTTCTCAAATTTCAAACACCGATAGAATGCCTGTACAAATCCTACCTAGAGGCTCGTGTTCCATCTTCTCTAGAGTTGAAAGTGTTTGGTTGTGTTGCCTTTGTCCATAACCTTGATCCTAATCGAGGGAAATTAGACCCTAGAGCTCATAAATGTATTTTTTTGGGGTATTCTTCAACTAAAAAGGGCTATAGGAGCTACTCCATAGAAAAGAGGAAGTACTTTGTGTCTAGGGATGTCACCTTCTTTGAAGATCAACATGCATTTACCAAAAATTTCCTTCAGGGGGAGAAAATATAGGAAGATAATTTTTGGGAGAAGTCAAAATATCCTGTAGTTCCAAACTCCAAATCTTTGGACCTCAAGTCTTGGGAATTTTTTTGGGATTTTGCTCCTCCTCCAGAAATTACAAACCGTGAACTTAGGGATTCTAGTCTTAATGAAACATCCCCTGAAGTAGAGAATCATGGTAAAAAGTTTGAAAATATTCATGGCTTAAATCAGACAGATCCACCTATTATAGAGCCTGAAAATTTCCCGACCACTACCGTAGAAAATTCCACTAAAATTCCGGATAATGTTCAGTCAAACCTACCCGTACTCGAACCACCTGGCTATGATCAACCACACACCATCACAGAACAGGTAGATAATCCTTCACAGCCTGACAATCCCACACAAGTTCAAAACCTTAGAGCACCAAAGTCTATAATGCAAGAACATAAAAAAATTAAGGAGGGTGGTTTGCGACCATTTGATCTAACCTATTCATGCAGGAAGAATCAAAAAGTTGGAGAAAGCCAGAAGGTTACTCACCACCAAGAATCTGACCCAGAGTCTGGCCTTGAAGGGGAGATGGAGGATTTAGGCATTCCTTTTGCTCTGAGAAAGGGTACCAGATCCTGTACCAAACACCCTATAACCAAATGATGTAGGGTATGATCATTTGTCAGGGCCAATGAAAGCCTTGTGTCTAATATGGCAAGTGTGGAAATATTGAGAAATATCCAGGAGGCAATGGAAAAACAGAATGGAAACAAGCTGTCTTGGAAGAAATGGGAGCTCTAAAGAAGAATGGCACGTGGGACATTGTGAAAAAACCCAGAGATAAGATTCCAGTTGGGTGCAAGTGGGTCTTCACAGTCAAGTATAAGGCATATGGTTCAATTGAGAGATATAAAGCTCGGTTGGTGGCTAAGGGCTACACATAGACGTATGGAATAGATTATCAGAAGACCTTTGCACTTGTAGCCAAAATTAATATTGTTCGAGTTCTGTTGTCTCTAGCAGCAAATTTGGATTGGCCATTGCAACAACTTGATGTGAAAAACGCATTTCTTAATGGTGACATGGAGGAAGAAGTTTATATGGAGCTACCGCCCGTGTTCAACAAAGAAAGAAGGTGTGATGAAGTGTGCAGGCTGAAGAAATCACTATATGGCCTAAAGCAATCACCACGAGCTTGGTTTGACTGATTTACTAAGGTGATCAAAGAGCAGGGATACAAGCAGGCTGCAGGTGATCACACATTATTCTATCAACATAAGGATGTTAAGATTACAATACTCATTGTGTATGTTGATGACATTATTTTGACTGGAAATTGTCATGAAGAAGAACAAAGACTTAAGAGGAAGCTGGCAGAAGAGTTCGAGATTAAAGACCTTGGAAGCCTCAGGTATTTTCTTGGAATGGAGATTGCTAGAAACAGAAGTAGCATTTCAGTCTCACAGAGAAAATATGTACTGGATCTCTTGAAAGAAACCAGGATGTTGGGTTGCAAGCCAGTAGAGACTCCTATAGAACCAAATAAAAAAAGAGAAGTTGTAAGGGATAATAGTCCTGTAGACAAGGGCCCCTTTTAATGTCTAGTTGGGAGACTTATCTACTTGTCTCATACTAGACCTGATATAGCCTTTGCGGTGAGTAAAGTTAGTCAATACATGCATTCTCCTGATGAAGAACATTTAGAAGCTGTCTATAGGATTCTGAGGTATTTAAAAGGAACACCAGGACGAGGTTATTCTTCAAGAAAGGAGAAGATAGAAACATAGAGGTCTATACTGACGCAGATTGGGCTGGCGATGTTGAGGACATAAGGTCTACCTCGGGGTATTGTACTCTTGTGTGGGGTAATCTTGTAACTTGGAGGAGTAAGAAACAAGTAGTTGTTGCTAGAAGTAGTGCAGAGGCGGAATTGAGATCAGTAGCACATGGGATTTGTGAGGGTTAGTGGCTGAAAATGTTGTTAGATGAGCTGAAGGTTGGAGTTATGCTACCTCTACGTGTCTACTATGACAATAAAGCAACCATAAATATCTCACATAATCCTGTTCATCATGACAAGACCAAGCATGTGGAAGTCGACCGGCATTTCATTAAAGAAAAGATAGAAGAATGAACTATTTGCATGACATATGTTCCTACTGATGGACAAGTGGTTGATATTCTGACCAAGGGATTGGCTAAACCCTTGTTTGAAAAATTGATAGACAAGCTAGGTATGTACAATGTGTACTACCCAGCTTGAGGGGGAGTGTAGCCGAGTATGGAATAATTATGGGGGAATGTTATTAGTTGACTTTGAATGATTTTCCTAAAGTTTTGGGATAGGTGATTAGGCAGTTTCCCTCTTTTTTGATTTGTTTCTTTATTTATCTTGTTTCCTTTTATTTGTTGTTCCTTGACTTATCTATATAAGGAGGCCGGTGTACATGCTTAGGAATATGAATGAGAACTATAATTTCCATTCTTCTAGTAATGTTTATCCTCTAGTGCTATCTCCACGGGTTCTTGCTATAAGAGAAATATTTACAAGTATGTTAAATGAATAGAATGACAAGACGTGGTGCTTAAACTTGACAGAGGATCTGGATGGTGGGGAGTATTTGTTTGCGTTTCGCATGCTGATGGTACTTTTCCGGAGAGAGTTTTCCTTTGTTGATGCATTGTATCTATGGGAGGTAAGAACGAACTAGTATACCAATTCTCATTTAACCCTTATGAGTTTTTTGTCTATAGATACTAACTTTCTGTTGGGAGGCCAAAAACCAAGAATCTTTGTGTAATTTAACTAAGTTGGATCTCTGGTTTTGCTTTTCATTCATATTCATATTTTAAGACAGTAATGTAGATTGGTTTCAGCTGATGTGGGCCATGGAGTACAATCCAAACATTTTCTCATTGTATGAAGGCTCAACTGCCGGTGCCGGTTCAGATACCTGTACTGCATCTGAAGTAGATGACAAAGTGCTAAAGCAGTGTGGCAAGTTTGAAAGGAAAATTGTAAAGACGGGATCTTCAGATCGCCATAGTGCACTTGCAGTTTTTCTTGTTGCAAGTGTTCTCGAGACCAAAAATAAGAAGCTCTTGAAGGAGGCAAAGGGTCTCGACGATGTCGTCCAGGTCCTTCTCTCCCCACCAAACACTGTAGTCAGAATTCGCCCGTTGCTTGTTTGCATCTTCATTTAACTTTTTTAAATGTTAACTTCGTCTCAGATCCTAGGTGGAATAACTGGAAATCTCGATGCTAAAAAGGCATGCAACGAGGCATTAAAGATTCACAAGAAGTACCTAAGCAAGGTTTACGTTTTATCCTTGTCATATTTTTAATTTTATTTTATTTTTTGCTCTGACGTCATATTTTTAGTTCATCTTCATATTTACGAATGGGGTTAAGATAATGCAAATAAACCCGGACCTTTTTCTGAACATTTACTCAATTTGTTAGGACGTGACAATTATGTTTATTGAATACTGTGGTTCTCTGGAGTCTTAATCTAAATGACCTTTTTGTTGACTTCTTTTTGCATGCAGACCCAGAAGACGTAGATTTCTTGGGCTATCAAATAATGGTGAAGTCATATTTGACTGCTTCAATTTGCTGATCAGGCAGTACCCAACTTCTCTGCGTTGGGTTTTGCATTTTTTTTTTTTTTTAAATCATTCATCTCCTCGTTCAATTTTCTTAACGAGAAGTTGAACAATTTTGATCCTTTAAAAAACAGTTTTGTATAGATAATTCAGATAACAATTCATTTGCAGCATTTTTAGCTGCGTGCTTCTGTAAAGCCTTCATCTTCCAGGCTCAGAACCATTGTTTGCGAGGATCTTTTGTGGCGTTTTCCGCAAAATTTGTCCTTTTCGTATTCAATTTCCAGTTAAAGATTTTAACTGATGAAAACTGAGCAAAGACTTTTGATAACGTAAGCTTGGTCTTTATAAATTGAGCATTGATTTGTGTGTGTGCGCACGTGTGTATAAATATATATAAAGCGAGTTTTCTTGCAGAAAACCATAAATTGTCGAGTTTTCTTCGATAATAGTATTACACATGCCAAGTTTTACCTTTTTTTTTCTTTCTTTTTTGGAAGCTAGAAACGTTAGTATGTTAAATAATCTAGTTCCAAACAAACTAAGAAATCATAATCTAGTTGCAGGCCAATGTTGGACATTGGAAATTGGAATGGACACTGTGAGAGCTTCTTGGTCGGCAATAAATTTGTCCTTTTTATTTATTTTTTTTTTCCTGAACCATAATCTTTTCTAGGATTGCTGAAATTCAAAGCAGTATTGGAAATAACAAGTTCTTTACTTTTCTTGTTCTGTATTGCTTCCCTTTCTTGCTTTTTACGTTGAAAGTGTCGGCTACTATTAATGGAGTTTATATAGCCTGAGCCCCTCATGTGTAATGGCTTTTGTAATTTTCATTAAAAAAAAAAAAAAAAAAAAACTAGATTTAATTTCCCGAAAATCAGCTGACTTGATTTGATATAGGACTGTGAAGAGATGATTACCTAGGAACTCGCATTACTATGAAAGCAAGCAAAACACAAAAAGGGTTATCCTTTATATATAGAGAAGAACAAAAAGGATACACGTCCGTACATTTTCCTTGTTAGGCTCAGGACAAATTTGTTTTGCTTTTGAGTACCATTTGGCTGCTGTTCTCAAAAGCTAGAGAAGTTTTTCTCCTTTTTGTGAGTCCCAAACACATGTGGACTCCGGTTGTTATTGTTTTGTACTTTTAAAATCAGCTTTATGCGTATAATAAAAATTAATTTTAGTGTTTAATAAATATTTTTAAAAGTGAATTTTAAAACATTTTTAAAAAATTTACAGTTAAAATCATAACAGTCTAAAAGTAATTTTTATTTTTAAATTATACGAGAATTAATATAGTATAATTAATAAAATTTTTATATTACTTATAATATCTCTAATAAAATTTAAATTTTATAATCTTTTTAATATAAAATTTAGATTCGTAATATAATATAATAATATAATATAATGTAATAATAATATTAATATTGTAAAAAATAATATCATAATTATATTAATAATTCTATATTATATTTTTAATTTTTATAATTATATTTTTAATTTTTGAAAAGTTTTAAATGTCTTTTATAGGTGATTCAATTAGTTTTCTCGACTTTTATTTTTTTTATAAGTTTTTATCGTATCTGATAATACACCTTATTGCTAAAAAAGTAAGTAACAAAAAGCTTAAAACATTAAGAATTCTTATTAAGAATGATATCCATTAATATAGTAAGAAAATATAATAGTAAAGAGAAATTGATAGACCACCCTCTCTTTTTTCGAAGTCTTTGGAAGAACTTTTTTTTTTTTTTTGGGGGGGGGGAGAAAGCGAGATTATCAAGAAAGAAATCTTCAGTTATAAGAATAAAAATAAGTGTTTGGTAGTTATAACATAAATTAAGCATTTTTTTCTTTTGTTATTTTTTCAATTGAATAATTATCCGAAAGAAGAAGACAAGATGTTTGAAATGAAATATCAAATATGCCACAAGAAACATTTCAAAGAATAAACAGTCAATTGCTAGAAAAAAAAAATCACTTTAAAAATTATTATTGAGAAAAAAAAAATCTTTTAATACTAGTTATTGTTTTATTAGTTTTACCGAGTGGATTTGTTTGTTTTTTTTTAGAAAATAAAACCAATTAATATGTTGAATATTTTGAGGCGTAAAGGTAATTAGTTAAAAAGGGTTTCTAACAAAAGAACTTTGAGGTGTAAATCAAATTAGTTAATGATCCTAACAATAAGGGGCCTTGACTTAAGGAGGACCTTAGACAGTTGCCTTAATGGCCTTACCTTGAGCCTGCGTTCGTTTATGCAAGTTCTTTTTCTTTTTCTATTTTTTTTTTTTTTTTTAGGGTTCATGGGAATTCAGAAGAATTTCATTCTGAATTCAACGTTTTATGGGTATGTAAATCTTGAGTCGATTCAAATTTTTCTCTTAAAATTCTATCCTAAAAAAAAAAAAAAAACACAAATCTGACCATCAAGTGATTTTCTTCTTGTTTTGGCAGGGACAAAACTTTCTGCGTCACGTCTTCCAAGAAGGCTATGGCCTAATTATTGTTCATAGTACCAAATAACAGTTTGTATATCTCGTAGAAATGTCCAACAACAATAAGATGAAAGGCTTGTTAAAGGGCCTAAGATACATCTCTCAAATATTTGGTACGTACTTGTACATTATTTAACTTAGAACCCCACAACTTCTTGTGCAATTGCAAAGATGGCTAAAAATTATATAGGGCGTATAATTAATTGTTTGGCATGCAGATAATGAAAAAGAACCAGAAATGCAGATTGGTTTTCCCACAGATGTAAAGCATGTGGCCCACATAGGATGGGATGGTCCCTCTGTAAATTCTCCTAGCTGGGTAAATCTTAATTGCTGTCAATTTTTGTATTTTGAGTCAAATTACTGAACAATGATTCTGAAATTCTGTGAACCTTTGCACGCATGGAAATTTTCGTCTTGTTTTTTGCTCAATAAATCCTTTAATGACAAGTTTCACTAGGCCATATTCTCTGCAGATGAGCGAATTTAAAGCTCCAACTGCATATGCATCGGCACCTTTGAATAGCAATGGGGAAGCTAGAGATGGCCCTAATTCTGCCAGATGGGTCTCTGGAGGTAATTAATATCATTCTCTCTCCTTTTCCCTCAAATCAAGGGGTTACATTTAGTCAAGTATGTGCATTTGGTATAATTGCATGAGATTAATTGGTTTATGAGTGTTGATGCTTGGTTTAATCATAACCTTATATTTTAATGAGTATTATTATGTTATTATTTACGATTACACCGCTTAATTTTATCGTTTACGCGCGATGATTAGATACTAGTCGGAGAAGTGGGCGGGTCCCAAATTCTCCGGTGAGGGACTTGCCTGACTTGCCTAAGGCATCAAGACGCCTACAATCAACGGATGGTGCTAATAGTGGAATTGAGTCTCCAACTAGAGAAAAAGTAGAAAAGACAAGACAGCGGCGTTCTTCAAAGAATGCAAGCAGGGATCCGACCGATAGTCCAAGACAGGGTCGTCGATCCATGGATTCGAACTCTGGGGTCGAATCGCCGTCACGAAACTTGCCTGACGTTCCCAAGAAAAGTCAACGGAAGAAATCCAAAGACGGCGGAGGCTCATCGAGATCAAGATCAAAAGCGCAAGCCTCACCAGCTGATCAATTAATGGAAACATTCTCGGATCCTGGATCAAATCCAGGTGATCAATTAATGGCACCATTCTCGGATCCTGGATCAAATCCAGAATCCGCCGAGTCCAAGGGCAATGATCTTAATTGTCAAAAACCACCAATATTGGATGAAGCCAAGGAAATCAAGGGATTGATTAGATGAAGTTCATGGTAAAATTACTTGTGTGCTATATTTGGTAGCTTTAGTTTTTTTTTTTTTTCTCTTCTTCTTTTAGTTAAGAAACAAAAGATTTTTCTCTTTTTTTATGAAGCATTGTATTATTTTACTACTCTGATTTTCCCTTTAGTAGATAGTACATGTGGGATGAAAATGTAAAAAAGGAAAAGCTATTCTTAGCTCAAATTGGATAAGGGGCAGAACCTCATACATGGAAATTTAAACAAGAAAGAAATCAATGCCATTTAACATGTGTTGTCTAATCACTTTGGTAGATGTTCCGCGGGTTTCATGCAAATTACAGGTAACATCTTAGTATGTAAATTCCAATGCAAATTGAGCTGTCAAAAAGTCTATGTTTGTATACCATCCTGTACACAAAAAAGGGATTTGCTTATAACGGACAAAATCATGTTTGAGATTGTAAAACAGTAGCTTTTCTTGAAAATATCCACTTTTTCTCCTCTTCCCTTTAACATGAAACTGGTGGAGTTGCATTGATTTCCCAGAAAAATATATGGAAATTGTAGAGCAAGCTCCAGAAAGTTGGTGATTGATAATCAACTTAATACCAATTCACAAACTACAGAAGAATATGAAAAGAGCCAATAAAGACGAAAGTTTCAATGAGAATTTGTATGCTCTTTGCATTGGAAAAAAAAGGCCTTAATTATACATTTGCCTCCTAACATAGTCCATGAAACATCCAAGAGTCCTTTTCCAAGTCAGTATACCCTGTTCTTTTTTTTTTGGTTATACCTAATCACTTTTTTTAACATCCTAATCCACAACCAAAACAAACAAAAAAAATGTCGAACTCTAATCCTAGAAAATTAAGCAAACAAAAGCAAATGGTTATACCTAATCACTTTTTTTAACATCCTAATCCACAACCAAAACAAAAAAAAAAATGTCGAACTCTAATCCTAGAAAATTAAGCAAACAAAAGCAAAATCAACAACCCCAAAATCACAAACCCAGAATTAGGAAAAGCCTGAGCTGTAGATAAGCTTCCCTCAAGTGGGACCGGGTTGGGTTTCTGTCCTTCTTTCTTACACAACTTCAATTGACCAAAACTCCCATTACTACTATTCTTGGCAGACCACAAAACATCCTCATCATCAACACAAAGTCCTGGGTTTCCTTCCAATTTGAGAGTTTGACCAATTCTTGAAGTTAAGTTTGAACCGGGAAAAGAAACTCTACCGCTCAAGCTGTTGTTTTCCAGATTGATTTCACCCACAAACTTCAAAAGCCCAAACTCTTTTGGTACTGTTCCTTCAAGCTTGTTATTGTCGAGCCCCAAATAGCTTAAGTTTTTCAAATACGCTCCCATTGAAGCAGGAATATTGCCTTCCAAACCCATGTCTGAAAACCCAACTCGAACGACATTTCCGAGATTTTCCCACACGTCTGGAATCTGACCTCCGAGGTAGTTACCGCTCAAGTAGACCTCTCTGAGTTTGGTCATGTCCGACAAGAACATAGGAACTCCGAAGCTCCCAAAACTGTTGAAGCTCAAGTCCAAAAACTGGAGCTTCTTAAACGCTCCGAAACTCTCCGGGATTCTGCCGGAGAGCCCATTGGAGCTCAAGTCCAGCTTCAGAAGCTCCGACTGATTAATGCCCATTGATGGAGGAACTTTTCCCGATAAGAAATTATGGCTAAGATCAAGAACTTTTAGGTTCTTTAATCTCGCCAAACTCAATGGTATTTCACCGCTTAGCTGGTTTCTCGAGAGAGTTAACTCTTCTAAGTTGACCAAGTCGCCGACAATATCCGGGATTCTTCCGTACACTCTGTTCCCGGTCAGAACTACCCTCCGTAAGCTCGTGAAATTACGGAGGACGCCGCTTAAGGAGCCGACGAACGACGGGTTGTCGATGAAGACAAGCTCTTCTAGCGTGTCGGTGGGGCCCACTGCGATGTCCGGGAAGGAAACGGGAGAGTGGTTGAAGCAATTGTAGAAGAAGAGCTTACGGAGGAACGGGAACGACGTGAAGAGGAGGGGGCTGAGGACGGCGTCCGCGGCGCAGGGCGGGTTCGGGGTGTAGTCGGAGACGTAGCCGAAGCTGAGCTCGGTGACGTGGACGGTTTCGTCGTCGGAGGAGTTTACTTCGGAGAAGTAGCTGCAAACGACGCCGTGTGGGGCGGAGGAGCAGAGGTCGCCGGGGAAGACGGAGCGCCAGGGGATGCCGGAGTTGATGGAGTCGAGGACCCGGTACGTGGCTTCCTGCTCGGCGGAGTTGAGGGCGGGGATGACGGCGGCGTAGTCTTGCTGGTGCGAAACGACAACGTTGGAGAGGATGATGATGGCGAGGAAGAGGGGATGGAATGGAGCCATTCTGAAGTCTGGAGAGGTTTTTTTTTTTATTAGGAGCTTGGATTTTGTGGGTATTAATGGAGGATGAAATGTGATTTGGGGGAATAGTGGGAGGGAGGGAGGGAAAATGTGAATGTCAAGGATATAATGGTCAAACTGTCAAAGAGTGAGATTTCAGTGTCTGAAGAAGTAATGGTTGGACGATGACTCATGAGTTTTTAGTGGGAAAAATCGGAGTGTGAAGTTTTTTATTATTTTCTATACATTTCTTCTCAATATTTTATTATTTGGACAGTGCACGGCATTTTGTAATATTTGGAAAAATCGTTCGAACTCTAAACTGAAAAGGGACGGAAGTGGCAGCCGGAGGAGCCGACAAGAACCTGCGGAGGACGCAGCCGCGAGAACCGACAGCTACGCGCCGCAACCGCCGACCTGATGTCTCTGTAGCCACTGTTCCGACCTCGAAAGCGACGCCTAACTAATCATCCTAGCGTGGTGCCGACACGTGGCGTTTGTACGGAAGATCGTTACTGAAAATGACAGGGCATGCGAATTCCTCCCTCCCTCCCTCTCTTTCGTTCTTCCACTCCCTCGAATCAGAAACCAGCTGGCCTGCCCTGTGGGGCCCACTCCGTGTGTGAGCTTTTTCGCGCTTCTTTTTTATTCTTTTATTTTTTTTTTTTCCCCTTTAATTTCTCTTGCTTTTTTGGATAATTATTTTGTTTGTTTGTTCCTTGAGTGGAAGCAAAAGCCAAAAGCAGTTAGAGACAGAAAGGAAAGTGAGAAATGCCCACATAATTCCAGACCAAAAAACAAGCATTAAGCATTAAGCATTAAACGACGTCTTTTTTTAGGAGCGACCAATGGTCTGTCTTTACTTTGCTTTGGTTAAACTTCAGGCTTCAGCCACTTTAATTAAGGAAAAGAGCTCTCTCTTCCTGTCCTGCTTGAGTCTTTCATTAAAAATGGATTATTTATTCTAAATGTCACGTCCATTCATTTAGACTTCGGGCTTCTACTCGTGTTAAAATGCGTGTTAGGTTGGTTGGCATGTTTTGGCAACTGTCCGTGTCCGTAATAATTCAAAAACAGGTGTTAGAAGATTGGGTTGCAGAATCGCATTAGGTACAGCTTATGTGGATCAATTTCGAATTTGAAATTCATTCGGATTTTGTGCAGTATGATTGGCGACCTTGGATCGATTTTATATGCAGATTCCGTGGAGTTTATAAACCAGATTTTGAATCAAAGAAGATGTAGTGGAAGTTATCTCAAAGTGGGCGTGTTGTACAAATCAAGTGCAAGTCCGGATTAATATATAGTCTTTAAATTCAAAGGTTAAATCCGATTACAATGCAGCTTTCAAATTTGAATGGCTTATATATATTCATTCAAAGATTAAACTTGAGCTGCACATGTGATTGGAACTTAAAAGGCGCGTTTGAAATCCATTTTAAAATGATTTTATTTTTTTGTATGAAAATAAAAATAAAAACGTTTTTAATCTCAGACATAAATTATTTTAAAAAATGTATTTAGTAATTTTATTGAGAGATTATTTTCAATATATAAAAAATAAACTGTGTTTGGCTTATACTTTTAAAAATCTATTTTCAGTACCTAAATTAATTATCTCTAATTAATATATTGAGTAATTAAAATGGAATTAATTTATTTCTTCATCTTCTTTAGGAGTTACTTTTCTTTACTATCTTCCTTTTTCTTGAATATATTTCGTTATAATTGACTATTTTGTGTAGGATGAGCTAGTGTCACATGAAAGAACTGGGTCTGATGATCAAGAAAAGCGTCGACCCTTCTAGCTCATCAACTCCAACTTATTATCCTCCGCAGCAGCAATTAAGTCCTCTTGACGTGCAACAAATAGATGAATGAAATGTTCAATGACCAAATGCAGATGGTCACTGCTTTACGTCATCATTTTCCTAGGATTGATATTCCTATGCCTCAAGCATCACAGATGCTTTCTCCACCTTCAAATCCTATTGACATTCAACAGTGGATAAATCAGATGTTCGATTACAACATACAACTAGTTGCATCGTCTCTTTTCCGGGGTTGATATTCCTACGCTTTCGTGGCCATCGATGCTTCGAGCATCAGCCATCGAGGATGAGGATGACGAGGACAACGTCAGCTATCGGCGTTGACCGGCATTCACTGGTGTTGACCGGAGTGTTATCGGGGGAGGCGAGTACCAAATTGGAGCTCTTGGCAAAAGTAACTCCAAAACTTGGGGGCGGCGAACCCAGACTTTCCCGGCGACGATCGGGGCTAAGATTGGTCGGGTTTTGCTCCTTTCCACGGTGGGAATACAACGGCGTGGCTCGCCAGGAAAACGGAAGTCCGACGATGGCCGACGCGTGGTGGCAGACACCAACCGAACCCAGACTTCTCCGGCGACGATCGGGGCTGAGATTGGTCGAGTTTTGCTCCTCTCAACGGCGGACATACAACAGCGTGGCTCACAAGGAAAATAGAAGTCCGGCAATGGCCGACGCATGGTGGCGGACACCGACGGACAGTTGCCGGCGTTGATGGCAGACAAGAGAGAGAAGAGAACAGGAAGAAGGAGAAATCTGAGAAAATGAAAAGGAAAAAATGAAAACGATTGAGAGCTTTTTTGTTTAACTTTTTGGGTTAAATACAAAATCATTTTCATTTTTCATTTTTATACGTTTATATTCCAAACTCAATCTTCATAGTATTTTCATTTTTCTATTCTCAAAAAATGTGAAAAACATTTTCAAAACTACTTCCAAACACACTGAAAATTTGACTTGATCAAAAGAAATCCAAATATGGCTTGCTGTAGTGGAAGATAAGGCATCGGAAATTTGAAGTTTAAAGTTGCTGCCATCGAAGATCAAGAGGCTATTTATTCAGATTTGGAGAATCATGTTGTGAGTTGGAGTAACTTTAAATTTTGAATTAAAGCACCTGTCATCTGAATCATGCTGCAGAATCCAAACATGAATAAATTTAGCGTAAGATTTTAATTTGAGAGAAAATCGTGGATATTTTATTTTGAGAAAAATTATAAAAGATTTTTTGGAGAGATTTTCTTGTAGAGTTACTTTGAAAGGAGAATATGTGAACATATTATACAGTTTCATCAAATAAATAAAAGTGCAAGATATTGTTGAGAGTGAATCATGGAGTTTGAGAAGATTCTCAAGAGGCTTTAGTTGTTCTATTTAAAGGTCTCATTTCTACTCACTAAGTGTATGGACTTAATAGAGAAAAATATTCAGGAGATTGTCTGTGAATGTGTGAGCGTATTGAAGTGTTCGTCGTCTTTTGGGAGAAAGATTTGTAGCTTTTGGGAGAAAGCACTTTGCTAGACGAAGAGAGTTCGCCGAGTAGATTGAAGATGAGTGGTGCTCGCTAAACAAGATCACTATAGAGATTCGTCACATCAGCGTCATCATCTAGGAGGGAGTCATTAAGTGAATAAGTTCATCCAGTGTTTGTAATTCTTTGGAACATAGTGATTTGTTTACTGTTTGAACGTGGCCCCGCAGATGTAGGTGTGTACATCGAACTGCGATATCATATTGTGTGTTTCTTTACTTTTTGTTTCCGCATTTTATTCTATCCGAGCAATTGAACACAATTAATCCTGAACTTAATTAATTAACCAGTGTTCCAGACAGTGTTCTAACACTATCTGTGACACCCGACGTAAAATCAGATCTAACAATGCACTTAGTATATAAAACAAAAAAAACATTTTTTCACTAATCACAAAAAAATACAATAGTTAGACCATCTCCAATGCAAATACTAATGTCAATTATATATTTACCGATAAAAAGTGTAATATGGTATGTTATTTTTATTTTTACTCCAATGCATAATGTTATTTGAAATACTAAATTTATTTTTTTCCATTATTATTTAGTTTTGAAAGTTGTAAAAGTAAACTTTTACAATGATTACATAAAGGTAAACATTTCAACTAATAGCAATCAAATGTCAAAATTTTCATATGTTATACTGTTAGCGTTTATGCCCTTAGGAATAAATGTAACAATGTTCTTTGAGACATTTTGACTATTAATAAAGATTTATTTATTTCATATATCTATGTATTGTTCCGTTTATGTTCATATTAGTTGAATGTATGATAAGCAAGCTGAAAGTCTGAGACTGTCATTTCAAAATCTTTAGGTCATGCATGTAATGTGAAGAACATGCGAAAGACAAGAATCTAAAGATGATAGTCTAAATCATATGATCCACAATCGAGGGAATAAAGTTTGGCGCTTTATTCATGTTAAGATTGTTATGTTGTCTACTTCCTAACGGAGACGGCTTGTCTTGGGCATCGGAGGTGGGACTCCATTGGTAGAGACATTGATATAGTTTCTAAAAGTGAAATCCATATTGAGTCAGACCAAAATTGAATTGTTTTAATTAATAATTTTGTTTGAATAAAACAATTAACTTTTGACGAATTATATGTTGTCATCTTAATCCTGAGATGGATGATGAACCCGTATGCTTGCCTTGTATCCTTTGATGTACTAAAGGGAGACATCCTGACATTACATAAAGGTACACTTATCGGTACATTGGGGGTATGACTATTGTATGCGTAGATTCGTTATTCATAGATAGTTGAATCCATAGCTCCTATAAAGAGTCAATGATATCCTCTTATGCATTATAGTGGATTGGAAAATACGAGCGCTCGGCCATTAGACCACTCTGTGTTATCTAATGGTATGAATAGTGTTTTTTCGATGGTTTGATAATGGAACATAAGATAAATGTAATCGGGAAGGTAAAACAGAACTTGACCTCAAGTCGATTATGGATATCCTATGGGGATGATATACTAATATATTGGGTCAAGACTAGAGCTAATCAGAGCTTTGTAAATACGCTATATAAATCGAGAGTGCAGCTCTAGGCTTTTAGTGAAATAGCGCTAGAGCTTTATAATCATGAGACAGACTTGTTGGTTTACAAGTAGTGTTGTGGTTATAGGAGCTTGATTTATATATGTCCATCGGGTCCCTTTGCTAGCTCACATAATTTCCTGTAACGATACGGCGTATTTCTTACATATTGGTAACTTGTGTTATTTCCGTAAAAGAGGTTCAAAGTTAATATGAGATTGATTAATTCACGAGTGATTTATCGCGTGAATTAATTATAGATAAGTTGGTTGAATTATTGTTTTAAGAGTTTTTAATATGGGAAGACTATCATATGACTATTTTGATAAGACAACTTCTCTATTAGGTTGCTTGAATCAAAATTGAGGCTCTGTGCAAGTTTCCCGTGTTGAAAAACTAGGAAAACAAATTTCGTCAGTGCAGACCGGTCGACCGGTTAGTGAAGACATGTCGACAGTAAGTTATAACGTCTCTGTCACCAGTCGACCGGTTGTAACGTAAAATGCATGCTAACATGGCAAAATCGACTCTAGATGCGATTAGAACTTTGGGAAACCTAATTATTACGGAAGTATGACTTCCTAAACACTATAAATAGCCTATTAAGTCACTTTATTCATTAGATCACTAGAGAGACTTTTTAGAGGCTATTGACAAAAGATTCCTGAGAAGAAAAATTATTTAATTCTCAAGAACAATTTTTTCTATGGCTCTCTTGTGATTGGAAGGAGATCAAGAATACCAAGAGGAGAATGAACGACATGTGCCCACCCGCACTCCGATCGTGGAAATGAGAATAACAAAGAAGACCTGTTGGTTGAGGCTCTTCCAGTTGTTGTTTGGAACGCTTTGATCTGTCAGACGTGCAGTTTCCTAAATCTCAAAAGGTATGATTTAGATCTTTAGTATTTATGTTATATAGCATCATGAACATGTTCTTGATTGGCTTTGACTTTGATTTAAATTTTTTTTTAAAAAAAAATTCCGCTGCGCACTCGATGCCATTATTTTCCAACATATACTTGGTGAGAAATTTGTTACAAAGTATAGCATATGAAAAATTTGACACAATAATTGGATTGCATTGGAGAGTATTTTTTACACTCAAATGTTAAATTTACAATTGACACACCAATTATAGCATTGCATTGGAGATGCTTTTAGTAAGGTAATATATCTAGCTTGCTTAGTTTCACTGGATCGGGCTTTAGCTCATTTCCTATTTGAGAATGGGAAAGATATTGGGGCCGTTTGGTAACGTTTTTAAAATGATTTTGTTTTCGATACAAAAGTAAAAATGAAATTGTTTTGATAATCATTCTGGACTGATTCTGAAATTGTGTTTGATTAGTTTTTTAAGAGATTATTTTGAGTATAATAAAAAAATGAAATCGTGTTTGGTTATAATTATTAATTAATATATTATAACATTATTGACAAGTACCAGGAAATGAAAACAGAAAAAGGAAAACAACTTCCAACAATTTTCTAATTCATTCACAAAAATCATTCTCATGTTTTTTGTTTTCAAAACATTTGCTAAATAAACGCGGTATGCAAACCGTTTTCATTTTTGTGCCTCAAAAAAAGTGCAAAAATATTTTAAAAAATAAACAAAAATTAATTCCAAACAACACCCGTTATAATTCAATCAAAATATTATTAGATTTTCTGCTTAAATGACTTGGAATGTACGTATTGAAGACTGGATTCAGTGTAAAAAAATGCGTTTAATAGTTTTATCAAGAGATTATTTTCAGTGTAAAAAAATCTATTAATGTCTCTCTTTCTCTCTCTCTCTCTGCTCTAGAGAGAAGAAAATGAAAAACGATTAAAAGTCATTTTTCATTTCTTTTTCATTTTACACTAAACTAAAAAATCGTTTTCATTTTCGTTTTTTATCTTTATTGCGCCAAACGCCGTTTTGAGAACATTTTTATTTTTTTTTCTCAAAAAACGTAAAAAACAAAAACATGATCAATTTCAAACATGGCCATGATTTTTTTTAGTCAGAAGAATGTATATATGTTATACCTACAGCTTTGTTGGATGAATATGAATTAATTCATTAAAAAAATAAGAGAAAAGTATACGGTTTCTTTTGGAAAAAAAAAAAACTAGAAATACTAATTGATAAAAGTATCATTTACGTCACTTTATTTAAAAATAAATAATAATTATTTAATTAATAAAAAATATAAAATATCACAATAACACTTAATTATTTAAAATGAGGTAAATAATTAAAAAAACATATAATAAACCGTACCTTAACTGTGCACTAGAATCAAATGATTATATTGGAAAGGAATAAGGATGTCTGAGCCCTTTTATGAAGTTTAGTTGGTGCTTGGTTGTTTGGAAAGGAACCGAAAAAAGATTATTTCGTTGTTTAATTTGGATGTTTAATGAACTAAGCTAACTAAAATGCTAGTCGTCATGTTTTTCATTACATTTCATTGATTTTCCTATGTTGTTTCATTCAATATAATTACAATTTAATCTAACGGCTAAAAATTGTACATAATCCATAAAAATAAACATAACACCTAAAATAACCCCGCTTCTTTTTTTTTTTTTTTTTCCCCTCGAACAACCTTTGAAATAAAGCATATTGAAATGGCCACAAGTAAATATGAGCTTACAGTTACAGAAAATAATAAATGGTTGCAACACATTAGAAAACCACTTTGCCAATGTTAGCAAAAATTCCTCTGTGATCAGTTTTTGTTTTATGCCTTATTAATTTGGGGGCGAAACCAAAAAATTAGAATTTAGAAATGGCAAATCAGACATAAATTTAGTAGTCATGTTTTTTCTGGCCAAAAGCCTTGATCTACAATGAGCATTACAATTCTGGTCAGAACTTAAAAAAAGAAAGAAATAAAGAAATAAAGAAGAAAGAAAACACAAGCTATTTCCTTGTTTTTTCTTTTTTACCAACCTTAACTGATGTAATTTTTTCCTCAATTTCTACACCCTGTATTTTTTTTTTGATATATATTTTCTGACTAAACCTTTTGAGAGACGCAGCCGGCCCTATCAAAACAACAAGAGAGAGGAGCTTTTATAGTCAAAGGCTGTCATCGGAGTTTATGGTGGGGATTGTGGCATGCCATTCACGGAGAAAGACGGATGCCAGATCAAATTTAAAATAGGAATAGGATCGTCGTGTGTTTTTTGATGTGCTGGTCATTGTCTCTCCCTATCCTATAGAGGTTGTGGTACGTGAGAAAACTCGAGTCGTCTTATAGTGCACACAATGTTTGTCACATTCTCATGTTTACTAACTACTCGTCTTTTCTACCGTGTTGAGAGGCCTTGCTCTCTTCTTTGTTTTGGTGATCTAGCTTGTGCATTTTTCATTTCCGTTTGTAATAACAGTGGTTCTTACCCCGATTAGTTTTACGTTATTGTTTTTTCGTCCGCAATATATGTTTCTTTGTATTTTTTTATTGTCTTTGTGCTATGAGTTTCTTAATATCGGTTGATTGGGTTGTTTTCATCGACTGTAGAGGATATGTCAAATAGCTGTGTTTGACTGTGTGCTCGACATTTTCTAATTTCCGTTTGTGGAGTTTGGCGCACGTTATTTTCCCTTGAGTTTCATTTGAATTTATAGATGAAACTGATTATCTGTGATCGTATTTCTTATAGTATGAACTAGTGTATGGATCGGTGTTGGTAATGTCTTTTATGTTTTAGAATATATTATTCATGTAAAAAAATGCAGCTGTTTTTTTATTAAAAAAAAAAAAAAAAAAAAAAAATTTTTTTTTTTTTTTTTTTTAAAAAAAAAAAAAAAAAAAATTTTTTTTTTTTTTTTTTTTAAAAAAAAAAAAAAAAAAAATTTTTTTTTTTTTTTTTTTTAAAAAAAAAAAAAAAAAAAATTTTTTTTTTTTTTTTTTTTAAAAAAAAAAAAAAAAAAAATTTTTTTTTTTTTTTTTTTTAAAAAAAAAAAAAAAAAAAATTTTTTTTTTTTTTTTTTTTAAAAAAAAAAAAAAAAAAAATTTTTTTTTTTTTTTTTTTTAAAAAAAAAAAAAAAAAAAATTTTTTTTTTTTTTTTTTTTAAAAAAAAAAAAAAAAAAAATTTTTTTTTTTTTTTTTTTTAAAAAAAAAAAAAAAAAAAATTTTTTTTTTTTTTTTTTTTTTTTTTTTTTTTTTTTTTTTTTCCTGATGATTAGACGCGAAAGGCATTACATAATGAGAGCAGTTTTAACAAAGAAATTAGTTGAACAAGAGGTTGACTGGCTGAGGGAGAATAAACATTATTCATCCTTTTTTTAAAAAAAAAAAATTGTTATCTAATATCTTCGTTTTTCAGCAAAAAGAACAAAAATAAAAATCTAATATCATTTTCCACCCCTAGAACTTTCTCGATTGGATTAATCTTATAAATAATCCCTCAAAGTTTACTTTTAATAGTCCATAACTTTTAAAACGTCTCATAATTAGTAATTAAAATTTTACTTTATTTCAATTTTAACCTTTTTATTAACTAAGTATTGAATATTAAAAAATAAAATTTAGAGACAAAAATAATTTAAAAAAATAAAAATTAATTTCCACAGATAGTTTTAAAATCTTAATTTCCACATATAGTATTAAAATCTTAATTTTTTTTAATTTTGATCTTTAATTTACACAAATTTTATTAAAATTTAATACTTAATTAACGAAAAGACTAAAAGTAAAATAAAATAAAATTTTAAAAACTAATTGTATAATATTTAAAAAGTCAAGAATTAAAATAGATTAAGAATAAACCTGAAGAACCTTTCTTTATTTTATTTTATTTTTTGGATTCTGTCGTTATCTTTGTTTGGCGGTGCCTTATTGGAGGCCTTTGTAAAAATAACTCTTTTGAAAAGTTTTATTAGTAAAATAACTTTTTAAAAATTTTTATTTATAAAATGACATCTTTTTATAAAGAATGAGTAAGTGTCTTTTTTCATAAAAAAAAATAAAAAAAAATTATTTTGTTAATTGTTGGATAGTCATTATAACCTATTGCAAACCTGGAAGAACCTTTCTTTATTTTATTTTATTTTTTGGATTCCGTCGTTATCTTTGTTTGGCGGTGCCGTATTGCCCGTATAAATCTTGGTCTTTTTGAAAACAGTTAATTTACGCGGGCGGTAACGCCGCATTCGTATATAACGTAGTACACACGAACTTCCTTAAAACCCTAACACACACAGTACGGTTTGACTTCAACAAAATATCAGTCCCCCCCAAATCCTCTTTTTCTTCCTTCATCCAATAATTTCTTCTACAAAAATCAATTAATTTTTTTTCCAGTAAAAAATGGCCATGGCTGGTTTGTATAGACGAGTCCTTCCTTCTCCTCCGGCGATCGATTTCGCTTCATCGGAAGGAAAGGTACACTCTTTTTATTTATTATTTTGCTCTTTTTCTTTTAATTATTATTCGTATTTTCGTGTTTGGTTCTCGTCCAATATTGGTTTTGATCATGAAGGTTTAATTGAGGCTAGCTATAGAGTGAAATACTTTTTCGTTGTGAATTTTTTTTTTTTGGGGTTATTTTTCCAGTGAAATTATTGTTTAAAATTGTCACCTCATTTAGATCCCTCCGTGATTTTATGCTGTTTTGGTTGGAATTTGCAGCAACTTTTTATTGAAGCCATTCAGAGTGGAACCATGGAGAACTTCTATAGATTGATCTCCTATTTTCAGACACAGTCAGAGCCCGCATACTGTGGGTTGGCCAGCCTTTCCATGGTCTTGAATGCCCTAGCTATTGATCCTGGAAGAAAATGGAAAGGTAAGAATTTGAACGTATTTGTGCATATATATTTTGTACCATGAGATTTTGAACATGTATTATATATAGTGGAATTTAAGTTTCCTTTAAATTGACTATTAAGTGAACATTGAAATCCATCACACTTAAGCCTCTGTTATTTTGGTCCTATGTATTTTGTGTTATAGGACCTTGGAGATGGTTTGATGAGTCTATGCTGGATTGCTGTGAACCTTTGGAAAAAGTTAAAGCTCGAGGCATCTCATTTGGGAAGCTTGTATGCTTGGCTCAGTGTGCGGGAGCGAAAGTTGAGGCATTCCGTACAAACCACAGCACCGTTGATGATTTCCGTAAATATGTCATGAGATGTTCCACTTCAGACGATTGTCATTTGATCTCATCATATAATAGAGCAGCTCTCAGACAGGTTAGGATTAGTTACGCAAATAGGTGTAAAGTTTATGTTTAGCTAGAAAAAGTAAATATTCATGCTTCAAAGTAACAAACGTGATGCATTACATTGCACGGGGAGGCTAATTGTCGCAGTTTTTGCCATGTTTATACTTTGCAAAGCCATGCTTAAATGGAACTTCCAGCTTGTTTCTTGGCAAATACCAATTAAATTTTTGTTGCAGACAGGAACTGGTCATTTTTCGCCAATTGGTGGTTATCACGCTGGAAAGGACATGGCACTTATCTTGGATGTTGCACGTTTCAAATATCCTCCCCATTGGGTTCCACTGAAACTTTTATGGGAAGCCATGGATCATTTTGATGGAACAACTGGACAACGTAGAGGGTAAGAGTTATATATACCGTATTTCATTAAGTTTAACCACTTACAATGAGATTGGACCTGAATCTTAGGAGCCGTTTGTAACTTAAACATTTTTGAAAAAACTAGATTGTTGATTCTCTATTTTACAGTTTTTAAGTTGCAGCATATTTCATTGTGAATTTATCTTCACGTTTATTTTTTCCCAGGTTCATGCTTATAGCCAGGCCTCACAGGGATCCTGGACAGCTTTATACCCTGGTACGGTGCAGGTTTGGTTATCTCTGTCATTGTCTATATTCTTGAACTATTTTACAATATCTTTGTGTCTGTGGAAAATATATGTATATAAGGCTGTAACTTGTCTGAAATCGTGTATCTGTTATCTCTTATAAGTTAACTTATATATGATTCTCGAACTTCTGGCAGAGCTGTAAACATGAGAGTTGGATTGGTATTGCTAAATACTTAATGGACGATGTTCCTCTTCTGCTGAAGTCAGACAACGTCAAAGACATTCAGAAAGTTCTCTCTGTAGTTTTCACATCTCTTCCTTCCAACTTTGAGGAATTTATCAAGTGGGTTGCAGAAGTCCGGAGACACGAGGACGACAGCCAAGGTTTAAGCCCAGAGGAGAAAGCTAGGCTTTCTGTCAAGGTGTTGTAAAGCTCAAATTTATTTACTTTGACTTGCCTCTGATACCCTTTTATGCAGGGGGCTTGCTCTTTTTCTATTCAGAATGACATATTAATTCTGCATTTTGCTGTACTTCACTCCAAATATTCACTTCCTATGTTTTGTTCTGTAGGAGGAGGTATTGAAACAGGTTCAGGACACGGGCCTTTTTAAACATGTAACATCGTTCCTGTCTTCAGCAAATTTATGCTGCAAACACTCTATAACTTCTAGATTTGGAGAGGATTTACAGAATATTGCGGCAAGTGTGTGTTGCCAAGGGGCAGAAATTTTGTCAGGGAACTCCGGCTCTCAGGCTTATTGCTGTCAGGAAACATGTATCAGATGCTTGAAGGCTAACGGTGACAAGCCAATCACAGTGGTAAGCGGAACTGTTGTAAATGGCAACACTCAACAGGGGGTTGACGTGCTAGTACCTTCTTCCCAGACAAAACCAACTTGCAGCTGTACTGGTTCAAGAAATTACACCGGCTTACATCCAGCTGGAGATGATGTTCTAACAGCTCTTCTTCTGGCCTTGCCTCCTGAGACATGGTCGGGGATCAAAGAAGAGAAGCTTTTGCAGGAAATACGTAGCCTTTTTTCGACTGAAAACCTTCCCACTTTGCTTCAAGAAGAGGTAACTTTTATTATGATTCAAGTGGCTTCAACATTATTTATCAACTCTCTGATTGTCGCAGTGCCCACTGATTGTATTTTTAGTCAAATTCATCATTGCTAATACGGTTGGGTGCCTAATATATTTGTTCTTCATTCCGAAGAAATTTCTGAATGGTAAATGTGATTATTTGGCAGGTGTTGCACTTACGACGCCAGCTTCATCTTCTGAAGAGATGCCAAGAGAACAAGGTGGATGAGGTTCTTGGTGCACCTCTCTGTTAGCACATCCTTTTTGTTCTGTAATTTTTTCTATTGTTTTGTTTAGTTCTAAGCAAACAGGGTATAACTAACTCAGACGGCATATCGCTGCGATCGCAACCTCATGGGTGGCGTGCCTAGACGTGCCCGCCGCAGGTAGAAGAGCCATGGTAAAAGAGACTTGCTCGGGAGATGGAAGTGGTCTTCAAAAACGGGTTACGCTTCTTGAATTTAGTTGTAGCTGTAGTAACATAGGCATAAGGGCATATGCCAAAAACAAAAAAGTAGGAAGAAAGAAATAGTTTTGAAGCAATTATCATCAGACTTAAAAGGGTTGTGACATTGAATTTAATTCATCGCCAAACAAATGTACAATTTATTCGAGTCAAAAGGTCTATACTTATTTATTTATTTAATTGAGAAGGTCTGTATATCTTGTTATCGTTATTTTTCTAAATCTGAAGTAAAAGTCTCTTTTATTTATGCTCACACTTTGGATACGGAGTTTTGGATTTTGTTTCGTCGGATTTAACCGTTATAGTTGAAAGCAAGTGCACAAATTGACTATGTAGGTGATTAAGTACTGGTCTTATCGTATGACAGGGTGTCTGTCGTAGTTATCAATTTTATCTTTATTTTTTCAAATAAAAAAAAATCAAGTATATTTTATTTGCTCTCCAATTATTTTACTTTCAAATTTTCATTTTGTTAATTAAAGATAATTTTTGTTTTACTAAATACCCCCTCATATGTGAGGTCACATGCTGCATTGCACAATGCACGTGATTTACTCCCTTAAAAACTTGGGAGAAGTTATTAAAAACGCCGTAGTTATCAATATTTTTAAAGAGTTTGAAAATGGTTTCGTCAAAAATAAAAGATAGGGTTTAAATTATTACCTATCAAAGAGTTTGAGGAAAAGATGTTTTGCATAAAGCAGGAAAAAATGGTGGTAGGCTGGTAGCTTTCCCTTTCTTTTTCTCTTCTTTTTGGACAAGAAAAGGGAAGTCAACAGTTTTGTTTGTACCAATCGGACAGCTAGATTCTGACGACCATAAAAAGGGCTGTAAATTGGAAGAATAAACAACAGATAAAGATAAGAACTGTGATTTGTGAATTTTCTCTCTCTCCCTTTCGTTTGTTTGTTTGCGGAGAATAATCAATTTGGTGACTTTTAATTTTAATTGTAAATCACAAGAAAAGTCAGGCGAATATGGTCGAGATCCCCTCCCGACGCCAAAGAATGACACGGTAAACGGCCGGTCAAACTGTAAGCAAACTATATATATATATATCATGTACCCACACATATATATATATATATATATATATATGTAGACACACACACACACAATACGCACATGAATTTCAACTTAGAAAATAATTCCTTTGGAGAAAACAAGTACAAGCGGAACAAAAATTCCTCAGAAGAACGGAAAGTCAACAGTAATGGCGATTGCAGGTCTTTACCGCAGAGTCCTCCCTTCCCCTCCAGCGATCGAATTCGCTTCCCCGGAAGGAAAGGTATGAAAGCTCTAACTCTCTCTCTCTCTCTCAAATCAGCTGCTGAAGTAGAATTTTGGCGACATTTCAGTCTGAGTGGCTTTTTGTTTGTGTGTCTTTTGAAGAGTCTCTTCACTGAAGCTTTAGGAGATGGAACCATGGAAGGGTTTTTCAAGCTCATCTCTTACTACCAAACCCAATCGGAGCCTGCTTACTGTGGCCTTGCCACCCTTTCCATGGTCCTCAATGCGCTTTCAATCGATCCCGGAAGAAAATGGAAAGGTAAAACTTTTCTTATTTATTATTTTCGAAATCGATTTGTTTTTTGGAGCAAAATTTAGGAACTGAATTTGAGCTTAGTTTGGTATTATTTTTTTCTCGTAAAAGTTGATTTTAATATTTGATAAATATTTTTAAAAGTGTTTTTTGAATTTTTTTTAAAAAATTTACAGTCAAAATTAAAAGTAGTCTAAAGACAATTTTAACTTATTGTGCGAAAATCAATATAGTACAATTAATAAAACTTTTATAATATCCCTAATAAAATTTAAAATTTACAATCTTTTTAATTTAAAATTCATACTTGTAATATAATATAATATAATAATAATATTGCAACAAATAATATCATAATTATATTAATAACTATAATATTATTATAATTATTTTAGTAACATGATATTATAATTATAATATGATATTATAATTATAATATATTATAATATATAATATAATATATTTTATTGATATAATTATATTCATTATATTAATAATAATATAATAATTAATATAATATAATAATTATATAATCTTATAATTCTAATATAATTATATATTATAATGTATTACACACGTTATAGTTAGTAATATTATAATATATTTTATAATATTGTACTTATATTAATCATTTTAATGATATTATTATATTATGTATCATAATTATATAATATGTTATTTAATACTAGTTTTATTGTATTATATTAAATATAATAATAAATATACATTATATTGTAATTATATATATTATATTAGTATAATATAATATAATCATTTTTTAAAATTATTTTTGTTATTATTTTAATAATATTATTATATTCTATATCATAATTATATAATAATAGTTTTTTATATTATATTAAATATAATAATAAATATATATTATATTATAATTATAATATAATATAATATAGTCGTAATTCTTAATTCTCTTCTGGCTATTACATTGATTTTAGAATCAGCACAGCTACTATAATTATAATTTATCAAGCACTTAGCTGCTTTTTGTAATAACTGTTTCTTCCTTCAGTACAGTTAAAAGTTATTTTTCCAAAATCTACAGCACTACTAAACTAAGCCTTAGTTTTTGTTTGATAGTAATGATTGGATTCAGAATTGATAGAGTTTTTTAGGCCCTTGGCGATGGTTTGATGATTCGATGCTTGATTGCTGCGAACCTTTGGAAAAGATCAAAACCGAAGGGATCACATTTGGGAAAGTTGCGTGTTTGGCGCATTGCAATGGGGCTAAAGTTGAACCCTTTAGGACCGATGAGAGCACGGTGGATGAGTTCCGCACACGTGTAGTCTCGTGTTCCTCTTTGGAGGATTGTCATGTAATCTCCTCGTACCATAGAGGAGTTTTTAAGCAGGTGCTTTGCGCTCGTTCCTTCAGTTATTTAGCGACTTGTAACATGCTTTTTAAGGGTGCACATAAACTTTTTATAGAAGTTATAAACTTTTTATAGAAGTCATGGGAATTCATGTTACTATTTTGTTGCAGACTGGAACTGGCCATTTTTCACCAATTGGGGGTTACCATGCTGGAAGAGATATGGTTCTCATATTGGATGTTGCTCGGTTTAAATATCCTCCCCATTGGGTTCCTCTTACACTTGTCTGGGATGCCATGAACACTATTGATGAATCAACGGGACACCGTAGGGGGTAAGCTCTCCTCTTTTGAACTTAAGAGTTCCATTGTAAGCTATAAGGCCGAATGGCTTGGTTTTTGATGCGATTTGAGAGTTTTGTGATGTGAATAATTTGAAATAGTATTGCTAATTTGTTTCGATTTTGCTAGGGGTAACCTCATATGATAGATTGTCGATTATTATAGTTGCAATTGACGTCTAGAAATATGTTATTTTTCAGGTACATGATAATTTCAAGGCTTGATAGAGCTCCGTCTATTCTTTATACAGTGGTAATGTTCTTGTTGGTTGACCTTTTCTAGTTTCTTATTATTGTGCATGCTCACATGAAACTCTGCATCCAATAAGTTTCCTAATGGATCAGCTCAAGATATATCCTATTCATTGTTAAGTTTATGCAGTTGAAAAAAGTAAAATAATTTAGGATTCTAGTCATTCTTTACTGGTTTGATGTAGCAACATTTGGAACTACCCACACAAATTCATGCTCGAAGAATTGTCAGATTGACTTTGTAGAATTTGAACATGACCAGAAAATAGGATGAGGTGAAAATAGTGGAAATAGTGGAAGATCTATGAACTTATTATGGAGGGCATAAGTAGAAGCTAGATCTATCATCAGCTCCCTATGGCGTTGTTATAAGTAGGGAAAGTAGAAACATTGGAATGAGGAATGATCGGGGTAGGTCTTGGATTTGATCTTATGTAGCAATTGTCTAAGGCCCCGTTCTTTTCGCTGATTCGAGTTTAGAATTCGAGTTTTGCTACAATAAAAAACTCTCAGAAACAATCACATCTAACTTTTTTGCTACAGTAAAAAGCTCTCACACAACATCACATCTCAACTCGAATTAGCGAACTGAACGGGAACCTTTCTTATCCCATTGCCGCTGTTCTTTATCTTTTGTGATTTTGTTATTTGGTTAACTTGGAATAATAATTCAGATTTTGATTCCCGTGCACTTTCTATTCTTTGCATGCTCACAACAAATCTTTTAGCACTCTATATAACTGCATATTTTCTGCAGAGTTGCAGCCATGAAAGTTGGAACAGTGTTGTGAAGTACTTAATAGAAGATGTCCCTCTCCTCTTGAAGTTAGACGACATGAAAGATGTTCAGGAAGTACTTTCTGTAGTTTTTAAGTCACCACCTGCTGATTTGAGAGAGTTCATCAAGTGGGTTGCGGAAGTTCGGAGTCAAGAGGATGGGAGTTTATTTTTGAGTGAAGAGGAGAAAGGAAGGCTAGCTGTAAAGGTTTGTCATGGGTTCTAATTTTATTTTTTCCTTCGATGTGGTGAATATTCTTTCTTGGATATTTTATTTTTCTTTTCTTTTATTTTATTTGTAGTAGATGGAAAAGTCTGATTTCTTTTTCAAAGGAAAAGTCTGATTCTGAGATTTATGCTTTGTGCTTTTCAGGAAGAGGTATTGAAACGAGTAAGAGACACTGAACTCTTCAAGCATGTATCCAAATGGTTGACCTGTGAAAGTGTTCTTTGCAAAGAAACCAAATCTTCTGGTGATAACAGTGCATTGCCCAAGATAGCTGCAAAGGTTTGCTGCCAAGGAGCTCAAATTTTGGCTGGGAAACTTTGCTCACCCAATGAATTGTTCTGCAGACAAACTGATGTTAAACTTTTAAAGGCTGATGGTGAAAGGCCTGTAACAGTTGTATCAGGAACTGTAAGGACAAATGGCTCGGAACAAGGAGTTGATATGCTGGTACCGTCATTTCGTCCCGAGCCAAGTAGTTTGTGTGCCTTTGATCAAGGTAGTTGCAAAGGTATGCACCCTTCAACCGGTGATGTTCTAACTATACTTTTGTTGGCGCTGCCTGAGCAAACATGGTCGGGCATTAAAGTGGAGGAGCTTAGGGAAGAAATTTTCAGTCTTTTAGCAACTGACCACCTCCCCAGTTTGCTTCAAGACGAGGTTAGATTAACTAATAAATTCCAGATCTTTATGTCGTCACCTTTTTATATTTTCAGATGAAAAAGATATTAAATCTAAGACCTAATACAACTCATCCCAGCCTTTTCTGTGCATGATTTGATAAGTAAATTAGAATAATGAACGTATATATATATATGTATATATATGAAAATGCGTCACCTAGTTATTGGAATAAGACTGTCGTTCATGTTGGACATGTTATATTTGAATCATAATTTGCTTACAACATTCAATAGACGCTTATTTTTCTTTCCCTAATGCCTTATGGCATGTCATTTTGACAGGTTCTATACTTGAGGCGCCAGATTCATTTCCTCATGACTGATCTTGGGGCTCCTAATCCTTGATTAGCATATAATTGCTCATCTGCTAAATTTTCCTCCCAAACAACAGTATATAAAGATACTGATATTAAGTGGAGACGAGATACAATGACAATTACTGAAACTATATATTTACTTGTGCAATCGTCGTTGCATGGTTCCAGAATGATTAAGTGTACTCTGGATATAAACTTCTTGAATAAAGATATATACTAAATTTCATGGGGGTTGTTTTTTGCATTTTTGAGTTAGGGTGACTTGAGCGATGATTTTGAGTTGAGTTTGAGTTATAATTTAAGTTGAAGTTGTAACTTGAGTTTGTGTTTATATGTGCACATTTGAGTTATGATTTGAATTGAGAATCTATTTGAGTTTGTATTTAGGTGGGTCAAAACTTAAATTTGTATTTAAATTGTATTTTAATAAAAATTCAATGGTGATGAAAAATTTTAATAGGGTATATGGGTGGGGTTTTATTCGTCTTTTCGTTGTGAATGCATAAAAAAAATCATCTCAATTAGAATTAAAATAAAAAAGTTATGACATTTTTAAAAATAAAAAAAATATTGTTCGTTAACTTGAGTTCGAGTTTATAAACTCGAGTTAAAGGAAAAATTTAAACTCGAATTTAGTCTCAAATTCAAGTTCAAACTCAAATTTTATAAAAAAAAAATATAAACTCAAATAGAATTGTAATTCAAATTTAAATTTTTTTTAGTTTCGTCTTAAAAAAACAAGTGCATGAATTTTGACAGTGGAATTTATTATCACCATCATTGTGACCACGTTTCTGTATTCATGTGACACCGACTGCGTGAGCAGCATTGTTCACAAGAAATTTGGGACATTCACTCATCTTTGCGCTAATTGAACAGCTTGGTTCAAAGTGATTACCCCACTTTTTTTTTTTAAGTACATTGGTTCGAAGTGAACTTGAGTGTGGAAACAAATGAGATCATCAGTTTGGACTCATTAATTAGCGCAGAAGAGAGAGTAAACATGTGAACAAATCAAAAGCTGATATTTTGGTTTTTGCTTACGGATATGGGTGTGCAATGCGCATTAGGCACTGCTGCTGTCGTCAACTTTATGTTTTGTGCGAATTGAATTCCGTGGAAAGCCACATTTCATTAAAAATGATGCTTTCTTCTTTTCCTATGTTGTTTTATTAACGTGTGATTGGCTTAATAATCAAAAACTGTTAAACATCCTCATTTTTTTTAGTTCGAATTGAAAATTTAAGTTAAGAAGTGAATTTTTTTGTGAGAGAGAATATTATAATAAAAAAGTTTAATTGTGATTTAAACTGTAAAAAGAGCAGAGTTTTAATTTAATTTAGAGGAAAATAGTTGCACACCGCACCAACAACCCCCTTATTCATACTCCAAGCAATTCCAACTTTGGTACCCATATTGAAAATGGAAATAATAGAAAATATGCTAATATGAAAAGTTTAAAAAAGTATATAGGCTAATTTTTAGTTATAAAAATTAATATGTCATAATTTGTCAAGTTGTGGTTCATAACTAGATAAGTTATGGACAAACTTGTCAAGTTATGGTTCATAGCCAGACAAATTATGGATAAAACTGTCCATAACTTATCAAGTTATGGTTTATAACCAGACAAGTTATGAACGAAAACAGTAATTTGACCTATTTATTAACTTATGTAAACTATTGGCCTATTAATTTTAATTAATCTCAAGGCTTGGCCTATTTTCCTCTTTCTCCCTATTGAAAAACCATTATCTCTCTCAAAATATTAGAGAAAAATCTTCACAAATACTCATCTTCACAAATACTCTTTAAAAGTGTATAAGTCTTGATTTTTACCTCTTAATACTTTTTTTAGTCAAATAACCATATCAATAAAAAGGTATTAATTAAGAATGAGGAATAAAAATTCAGACCCATATACTTTTAAGATAAGTTTAATAATTTTTTCAATATATATACATATATTTATTTATTTCAGAGCTCACAAATTGTTTTGGATATATAGAGGTTCTCTCATTACATTGAATGTAATTTTATGAGGCGCTAAATAGTGTATTAGTGATACAGGGCATACTCTGTTTACTCTATGTGGCTAAACTGTTTGATTTACCTATTGTCGTTTCCTCCTGTGGCTTGAAGTTAATTGTCGTTTGAGTCTATTTTGTGTCGTTTCTTTGCTAGCTAAAACGCAGACTTATCTATCGTTTGATGTGTTATCTTTCAGCTATAAATAGCCGATTGTCAAACTCTTAAGAATTAATGAATTATTACTAAAATTTCCCACAGATTGATTTTCTTCTTGCTTGTCGTTATCCCTTGTTTTAGGGTTGGGTTCTTGTGGCCTTATCCATTTGGTTTAGCCAGAGAAGTCTCATAGATGCGGCTGCACCATTTGGTATTAGAGTTGAGGCTTTCCCAAAGCATGGTTGACACCGGTGAGTCCAGCCTTCCTAGGAGTGAAGATGAAGAACGAGGTATCCCTGCTTTTTGGGCCGCCATGGAGAAACTTGACCAGAAATTTGAAACCCGCTTCAATACCCTGTCACGGGACTTAAATTGAGTCCTGACCTACCTTGAAGCCACCGCGACGGGATCCCCCACCTCTGCGAGAGCAAGCGACCGCCTGAACCCCACCACTGTTGAACAAAGAGTTGTGATCCCGAAGACTTCCTGAGTTCGTTGCTGACCTTGAAGAACTTGAGATGGAGAACACGGCTGCAGCGCCACCACCTCGACCTACCGCACCACCGACTCGAGTATGACTAGCCGATCTTGAGGGTGAAGAGGATTTTACGCCTTGGCTTGCTTAGGGTACTAGGTATGGTCTACAGAACCCTCCTTTTAATGGTGAGCGAAACTCAAATTTTAAGCTGAAAATGGAACTCCCTGACTATGATGGCAACATTGATATTGAGGATTACCTTGATTGGGAACATAAGGTTGACACCTTCTTTGAGTACATGGCTGTCCCAGAAGACAAAAGGACGAAGTATGTAGCCTCCAAACTAATAAAAGGGGCTACTGCTTGGTGGATTTCAATGAGTAAAAATAGAGACAGAGATGGAAGACCACCGATTCGTTCTTGGGCCTTTATGAAACAGTTGTTGCGACAACGATTCCTGCCCAACGATTTTGAACAGACTCTCTATCGATTATTCCCACGATGCTTGCAGCGAGGCCGTAGTATTGGGGAATACATGGAGGAGTATTACCGACTGAGTGCTCGCAACAACCTTCCAGAGTCAGAGGACCAACAGGTCGTTCAGTATGTTAGAGGACTGAGGGATTCAATCCATGACCAGTTCACCTTGTGACCCATTTAGAGCTTGACCGATGTTGTCACTATGGCCTACAAGGTTGAATCACAACAAACTCACCGAGTCTACTCAGACCGGAAACCCACTGACTTCAGTCTAGACAAGGGAGGAGCGAGCGAGCATCTGCAACGATAGGGAAAATCTCCTCTAGAGGCTGCCAACATTGGGCAGACCGATGGTGGGAAAATGTTTCCGATGTAATAAACCCGGGCATCGTTCTAACGAGTGCCCGCTTCGAAAACTCGTGACTCTCATTAAGGAACTTGGAATTGAGGAAGAATAAGAAGAGGGGACTAAGAACTATGGTGAGGAACCCGCAGAGTTTAAACAAGTATTCGGTGACGAAGGAGAAAGGGTTGTTTGCATAGTCCAAAAGCTTTTACTCACGCCGAGGGAGCTGGTTGTTAACCAACGACACTCAATTTTTCGAACCCATTGTACGGTGAGTATGAAAGTGTGTGACCTCATTATAGACAGTGGCAGCAGCGATAATTTCGTCTCTAAAGCGCTGGTTAAGGCCCTTAACCTTCCCACGGAGAAGCATCCTCAAGCCTATAAGATAAGATGGATGAATAAGGGGGTTAAGGCATTGGTAGACACAATCTGTAAGGTACAATTGTCAATTGGTAAACGTTACCAAGACACAGTGACTTGCGATGTTATAGATATGGATGCCTCACACATCTTACTAGGTAGACCTTGGGAGTTTGACGTGAATGCCAAGCATGACAGACATGCCAACAGCTATGAATTCATTTAGAATGGCAAGAAGATAGCATTGATGCCGTTGCCCCATCCGGAGATTTCAGCTGGCCCAAGTACTCACACTGGCCAAATATTCCTTACTGCCCTGGGAAGGCCTTCCGAGCATGACATGCAGTCCGCCGGGTTGGTCATAGCTTTAATAGCAAAGGGGACAACCACAAGCGACCTCGCGGCCCCTGCGGATGTGCAAAAATTGTTGAAAGAATTTAAAGATTTAGTTCCTGAAGAGTTGCCTGAAGAACTCCCGCCAATGCGAGAGATCCAACATCGTATTGACCTTATTCCAGGAGCGAGCCTTCCTAATTTGCCGCATTACCGAATGAGTCCTCTTGAACATGAAACCTTGCATAAGATGGTAGAATACCTGTTACAGAAGCAGCTCATCCATCCCAGTCTTAGCCCATGTGTCGTACCAGCCCTCCTCGTCCCAAAAAAAGATGGGAGTTGGAGAATGTGTGTCGACAGTCGTGCCATCAACAAAATCACCATCAAGTATCGATTCCCAATCCCTCATCTCGGGGACATGCTTAACAAATTAGAAGGGTCAAAGATTTTCTCCAAGTTAGACTTGCGGAGTGGTTATCATCAAATTAGAATTCGGCCTGGCGATGAATGGAAGACCGCTTTCAAGACGCGGGAGGGGCTGTACGAGTGGCAAGTGATGCCGGTCGGCCTTTACAATGCACCAAGCACGTTCATGAGACTTATGAACCAAGTTCTTAAGCCTTTCATCATGAGATATGTGGTTGTTTACTTTGATGACATACTCATCTATAACAAGGATCCTTCTGAGCATGGGGACAGCTTCGAGATGTATTGAAGGCATTGCGGGAGCAAAAACTCTATGTCAACCTTAAAAAGTGTGAATTTTGTACTAACAAGTTGCTCTTTTTGGGTTTTGTGATCAGTGAACAGGGCATTGAGGCGATGCACGGAAGGTTGAAACCATCCGCAATTGGCCCACACTAAGCACCGTGCACGACGTCCGGAGTTTCCACGAGCTAGCAACCTTCTACAGGAGATTCATTCACTATTTCAGCTCCTTCATAGCTCCTATCACGGATTACCTCAAGTAGGGCCGGTTTAACTGGGGGGAGGAACAAGCGCATAGCTTCGCTCTTATTAAAGAAAAGCTCAGTTCCACTCCCGTTTTAGCCTTCCTTAA